CTTGCCACGCAAAACCAACACACTGTTTTAAAGCATTGGCTCGGGTTTTGATTCACTAGATTATCAGCAAGACTCAGCCAACAACTGGCTCACCTTTGAGATTTCTTGTCCAAGTACTGAGCCTGCTCTTGTTTAGTTTGAGTTCTGATGAGATCACTTCCTTAGATGACACAGCTAAAGGCTGCTTAACTATTCTCAATTTTTATAGGTAGAAACGGAACACTTAGTACTATTTGTAATGGAAAGCAGATTCAGTTGATAATATTTCATGAGAAGACTTTTTGGCCTGTGGTCCACAGAATTACCAATCAGTACTGATGTTCTGGGGCACAGTTGTCCCCCGGGTGCACCTTCTGTCACCTTGTTGCTTAGCTTGAGGCCGTGTAGTGGTTGTGTACTTACTTGCTCAGAGACTAAGCAGGAGTAAGCGCTCGTTTCTGTGTTTGTCCTAACAACTAACTTCTAACTAACCGACTTGTTAACTCAGAACAGTAAAAGAAGTAGAGTAAATATAAATACACAATTGCATTTGAACTGTATAGGAGATACAATTTGGGCACTGTTGTCATCGTGTTGTTATCTGTCTACTTTTGGTCATCTGTCTAAAGTACATTTGAAAAACACTGGGGTTTTGTAGCACTTTATACATGTATGATATACCAAAGTACTCAGAAGGTGAATGCAAAGGTTCTAATCTACTAAAAATCTTGGAAACAATTTATATTCTGGCTTTCTAGCAGAGACCGTTGTGAGAGTTGTTGTTGGGCTTGTTTCCAACAGGCTTCTCCTGTTTTACTATGGACTTCCTGTTTATCATCAGAGCTACTATTTGTAGATTGATTTGTTCATGAACAACAGCATTTGTTCAAGGGGACCAATTGTTTCAGATTCAAAATGTCACAATCCTACTTTTACTGGAAATACGTCATGCTCTCTCACTTTGCCATTCACTTATTCGGGTTTGCTTTTGCCTTGTGTGGTGAATTCTCAGATATCTCAAATATGGAATATATATTTGAACATTTATGGGGGGTTAGATTTCTGGATTTTCTTTGTCAGTTTTATGAAAGAACTTCCATAAATCTTCATCCAGAAAAGGTATATTTGGAATGGACTGTGTGTGCCTCACAAGAATTCTCAGTGCTTAGCAAGATGGAGTCCCTGCTTCCCACCAAATTATTTTTTTTTCAAATTTTCAGATGTGTTCAGTCTCTTTCCTCTGCTCTTCCACTTGTGTCCATCCTTCATCTAAGCCATTCTCTATCTCCTGTTTTCCCACTGCCTTCCTTTTCACTCCTTTCTCTGTGCTCCTTCTTTGCCACCTCACTCTTGTTGGCTCTATTTTCCCGAATGCATTCCACTTTATCTTTCTCCCGTCTCAACCACAACGTGTTCTTTCTCTTGAGCCATAATTAAGAATGTGGGTGCTATCCTGTTTATTCACACTCAGTCTCTAGTGCTGCCCAACATACATTGTGAAGCTTCCATGTCTCCATGTAATGTTTGGTTACACTCTGTTTCTTCTTACCCAACATATCTGGGTCACAGCATATATTCAGGGTCATATCTTATTACTTCAGTTATAGCAATAAAGCTTTTCTATCATTTTAACTATTGTTAGCCTTATGGACTTAAGCCACAAGCTGAGCTTGATTCTGTTTCTGTATTTGTATCGTTAGTAATATTGTCTATTACAGTTCTGCTAGAGATGTAGTCAGATGCATTAGTGTGATCCCAACAGCAGCAGAGAAATTACAATGATGTATGTAGGTATAATTTTGCCTGCTTACATGTGTATGTGTATTCGCATATATAAACATATATGGATATGGGGACAATTATATGGAGGCACTATTTTTTTCTAGTGATGATGCACAAACTGGAAGGAAAGAAACCTGGCTTTGGAGCAGGAGTAGTGAAAAAGAATTATGGTTACTCTGAATGACAACCTAAGAAAATACACTTGCAATGCTTCTGCATAATTTTTTACATTTAAAAATTAGAACTGTAATTTTAAAGTTTTGCCTTTTATTTTCCCAGTCTCAGAGCCCTATATAGTACCATACGTCAGAAAACTCACATAGTTCCTTCCAGCAGCCTCTAATAATATCTTTAAACTAGAAATTAACCACATTAGGGAAATAAAATGATCAAGATACTAGCAGTTAGCCTACTAGGCAAGGTGAACCTCTGATCTGATATATTATTGCAGTTCAATTGTTCCCACATCTCAGAGCTGTGGGAGAGATCATATATCAAATGTGGACTATGTGTTTTCAGAAGATGCACTTAGCTTTTTTCTTGACTTCTTGGCTAACCTACTTAAGTCAAAGAATCATTATTGTTTGTCATTTTGTTATAGAGTGTCTGTCCTTTTTCAGTTATATGTAATAACAAACTGCGCTGGGCCTCAGATTTTATCGCAATGTTTAAAGGTGGTTCATACTAGAAGTTTATCTCATGTAGTAACAAATATTCCATAGGTTCTTTATTATGAGTGAAACTCTCTGTAATGTTCAGGAGCACTCAGACTTTTTAAAGGGATTATGAGGTAGGATCCAAATTGCTGTTCTGTTGTGGTATTGCATGAACATTGCAAGTGACCGAGAGCACAGCTGGATAAGAAACACACAGTCTGCATTAACAAGAATCTTGGCACTCACAGCTTGAGTTTAAAATAGTCATATTCTCCAATATTAGGTTGCAGTAGCAGTTAAGAGTCTTCTCCAGAATCCCTGTCCAGCTTCTCCCCTCAATTTAGTTTCCCCAAGGAGCACAGACTTCACCCACAAAGAACAGGTTTCCTACTGGAAAAACAGTTACTGAAACTGTCACATATTGTTGACTAAATTAGTCACTGTTCATAGCTCAGAAACTTCAGATTTTCTTTGCATTAACTGTTGACATTCACACATCAAGGCCTTTTAACTAAGTGTGTATGTCAGCAGATAAACTGAAAGTTTAACATTGGGGAAGGTTACATTTTACTTAACAGGGGCCATTAATTTGTTAGGATGGCCCATCTTTGATAGCATTAGAAGTGCATCAGCCCTACCAAAGGCACTGCTGTTCATTGTTCATGCTTTCCAATTACTTCAGAATGATTGTACTTCTTTTTGTACACAACTAACATTTTCTTTCCAGAACACATTAACCATTATTAATTTTGTATCTGTATAGAGTCTTAATGTGACAGAAGAAAAATTTGTTTTGGATACACTAGCTGGATGCATGGAATATAAACCCTTATTGGATGTAGTAGTCAATGCCTTTTTTGTTCAGGATGGGAGATACTGCCTGATTTCTGAGCGTAATCTCTATATAGGTAAGTTTATTTTAAAACACCAAATGTGTTTACCACAAAAATTTAAAAAATGTTATTTTACCAGTGTAGGTCTTATATTACATTTGAAGCATTGTCATTGTGCCCAGTGCAGTATGAAATACAGGATCTTCTCCAATGGCCTTATGATGTAAAGCCTAAATCCTGAAACTGTTATTTAATCTGGACTCTTGCAGCTGTTAACAGAATTTTACCTAAGGAAACTCTGCACAATATTCTTGCAGATTAGGTAACATGCAGAAGGAAAATAGCATTGGTGACTGGAAGAAGTATGTTGGAAGTTTAACCATCACTTTAAAAAATGTTCTTCAGTGATTTCCCTTTATTCCCTTCTATGCAACCTAGTACCTCTGCCATTCAGATATGAAACTGTCTAACAAAGCTTCGTCTGCTGAGGAGCACTGCATGTCTCACAGTATGAAGATGCGATTGTCTCTATCTGTACCTGGATTTCTTTGTTACTGATGATCACAGTGACATAAATAGACTTCTGTCTGTCTCCACAAGTGAGGTCAATTACTATCCTTTCATTAGTTACTTGGTTAGAATCAGTTACAATACAACTATATCTGGTAGTGTGAGCTAGTTAATCAGAGTAGTTACTACTCCCAAAGTTATTTCAGGCATTGAGAGGTACATTAAAAAGTAATTTAAAAAATATTCTTATGCTATGCATTTAATACACATATACTGAGGTTGATTTATTAAGTCCTTAAATAAGTTGGAATCACAAATTCACTAGCATTGGTTCTCTAAGTCAGATATGTTCTGAAGCTTTGTGGGTACTTTGAAAAGTCCAGTCAATTTAATTCAAAGTTGTTATCTAATATAAATATATCTACATTTTATGTTTTAAAAGCTATTAATTTTTTATGGCAATTCTGGTTGCCTCTGTCACAATCTAGAAAGGTATAGAAATCTAAATCAAATAAGAAACAAAAAGGAACCTAAACTGTCAAGGATGAAATTAATAGTATATTGAGTTTATTCTAAATGGTAATGCTTCATTGTCTCCATTTCTCCAAAGCCATGTTTTTCAGTGTCTGGGGTACATAAATTATACCTTTAAGCTGAGTGTTGCTATAATTGGATTGTCAGGACTGGTCCACTCAAAAGCCTCCATTAATCATAGGCAGAGGGTAGACCCCAGAAAATTTTCCTTTATCAACAAGTTGAGAGTCTAAGGTCATTGGCTTACATTTTTTTAAGCTGCTTGTGATTCCCTTTGCCAAGCTGCATTGACACTTAAATTATCAAAGCTGCTTATAAAGGCTGTTGCTATGTGTGAGCAGATCTGAATTTAATAAAGCTTGTAGGAGATGAATGTATATTCTGCTAAGACTGCTTAAATATGTTGCTATGCTAAAGCACAAGATTGAAGCCTAACGGTGCACTGAGTTGGCTGCAGCACATTGGTCAGAATTTACTGATTTTATGTTTACTGTTTGGTGGCAGCTAAAATACTGCAGTACAAGTGAAGCCTGATTGATCAAAGTGAATATGATCAAATGAAAGCTGATACAGGAGCTCATTAACTTTACAGGTCTGCAAAAATCTCTCAGCACTGGCTGTGCCTCTTCCTGTATTGAACTGCATACTTGCCAGAGGGGGGTGCAAGAATCAGGTTTGGATTTCCCAGAGAAATTCACAATTTAAAAACTTGGTTTTATTCTAATTCAGAATAAAAACACTTTCTGCAAAATGGTCACTTGCAAAAAAAAAAAAAAGGAAAATGAATACTAGAAATATGAAATTTTATGTTTAATTTTTTGTTATATATAATATTATGTATAATAAACTATGATTTTGCAATGGACGAATAAGAGCTATCCTCTCTGAAAACATTAAAAACAGAGTATGTTGAAAAATTCACTACCAAAACTTTCTTTTATGTCTCCTGTTCACATTAAATTTTATCACAGTAAGCTTGCTTACACCGAAAAGTTTGGTTACACTAAAGAAGTGCTGTTTCCAGCAATGTAATACTGTCAGAAACTTTTTCAGTCATGTCTTTCAGGACCCATCTGACTCCTATTGTCCTTGCCTTGTTGCCAGACTAACACAGAATTTCACAGATGGAATATGCAGATATTTGTTGTATAATCTGGTATTACTACCCAAAGATACAAGCCACCCTTTTTCTCATCACTGGCTACTCATTCTCACCCCTATGTCATATCTTCTCTTGAGTTAAAGCTTGTATTTAGCAGCCATCCAGTGAACTGATCAAGAAAATGCTTCAGGTTAAAATTCATAAGATGTTTTAACTTGGCTATGTGGGTGACTGTACTTGCCCAAGAGAAGAAACACCAGGAAGTAGAAGGAGGGGATGAGAACAAGCAATTAGGGGTTGACAGAACTGCTTTTTTTAGCGGTGATGTAGGCATAACAAAATGACTGTGAAATCATGGCAAGATCTTACCTTCGACCTTACAGGATTCCAAACACTGCTATGGTAGATCTCCCAGTTTTGCAAACAGATATTTGCAGGCATCAGAAGGACCTCTATGAATGACTTCAGACAACTACAATTGTTTTACATGTGTTGTGTAAGTGGTTAGATCCTCAGCTGTTGGAATTCCATAAAGTTGTGGAGATTTGCACTAGCTTGGATCTGACTCACAAAAGAGGTGACTAATCTATATGAACCATAGCACTGAGTCATGGTGCTAATAATGAACATAGGGTTAACATTATAACTTCATATTACAATTTCTCATTTTCAAGCATTATATTGCCCAGTTAGATAAACAATATTGAAGATCATTTAAAATTAATGTAACAGTCTAAATCTCAGAGTATGCTGAGTATAGGATATAGGTTTATTAGAATTTCCTGCTGCATTTTAAATTTATGTGTCTTTTGATAGTTATTTGTTATCTGGCTACTTTTCAACTAGAAGAGCTCGGTCTTCAGCGTTTCAGCAGAATTGTAAAATCTCTGGACACTGCAAAAATGCAAAAGGTAATGAAAGTACAAAACATTTTAAAAAAATAATTAATGATCTGTTCATTGTGTTTAATTAATCAGCTTACTTTTCTCAACTTTCAGGATAATTTAAATTGAGAAATTTGTGTTATTTTCTGTTTAAATTCAGAAATTAAATTAGTATTTTGTTATTACGAAACCCTACAATTTCTATACTTATGCAGTGACTATCATCTCATATTCAGTCAAAGATCAGTTTTAAATGTACTTTATATAATCTGAGAAGGTAGAATAATCACATGATTTACAGTTCATGTGATTTACAGTTGTCCCTCTAACTTCCATATTCAGTCTTGGCTCTGCTTCTTTCTTTGAATTTAGGCAGGAGAAGAATTTTTTTCCATACACAATGAATCTATTGAAACTGCTGATTAGTGTTCTTTTTTCCCTGAACAACCCACTGCCTCTTCCATGATCAAGCCTATTGTCCTTCCATCACCTTTTCTCCTTCCTAAAAAACAATTGCTCATTTAGAGCTATGCATGTACCAATTACCCCCTTAGAACATACCTGCAATTGACCACACCATTGCTGCCAAATAGAAAGCATGACAACAAAGTTTTGCCTGCCTTTTCCTCTCTGGAGTCACAAATTTGGGTTTCACTCCACTAATTGTTTGCTAATTTTCATGAAGTTTGAAGAAATATAAATATCTTCTGTGTCTCTTTCAAGATCGTTGAAAGTGCTGATTATCTTAAAAGCTACATTGTAAAGAAGGTCAGAGGGATAAACTGAGTGGCAATGCTTTCTCATAAGCCCTGTTTTCTTAGGAAAATAGGCTAAAAATTAAATTATTGGTGACACAGCATATGTAAATTTTGATAATCCAGATGTTTCAAAGCATAGTCCAAACACCACGTTTGAATAACAAATGTGGAATTCAAGAAATAGGCAAATTTTAGTACTTAAAAGGCTAAGGTTTATCCTTATACTGATTACTTTGAATGTTCATGTGGATGCCAGTGTCTCTTTAATGAGTATAGTTGCTTTGTAATATGTAGAGAGAGTAGGTTAGCTTGTCTGCATAATGTTTTTAGAAACACTTTGTTTTGAGGGGCTTACTATGGAATGGTTTTTATTAATTCCATTCAGAGACAAAAAAGATATATTTCGTTAACTGTTAGAAAGAACAGAGAAGTGACTGGAAGAATTATCATAATCTGGTAGACAGACAAATCACTTTGTCTAAAATGCTCTCCCAGCCCCTTCTTTGGTAAACATCTTAGGCACAAGCCACTGGATTGGATGCATCTTGAGCTCATTCAGCTAGCAACACAATTTTCCTACTTCATGCCAGTTATCTCTTGTTGATTCCATTCACCTAGCTTTATATGGCTTAAGCATCAGTGCCCCGATGTTCTATTTCAGATAATTTCTCCTTCCTTGTCTGGAATAACTCTTTTCTGATAGGGAAGTGCTGCATTGTGCAATGGTCTGCACCTGCTACTTTTTTTCCTGTAGATGTAACTTTGTTTGCTTAAGTACCTTATCAGATCCTCATCACCATGGTACCTAGGTTTTCTTCTCTTGCATTAGAAGAGGTCTTTGTCTCCAAAGTGATGGTAGATTATATTAATGCACCTGCAGCAGAAGATTTAGAAGCAGTATTTGGTCCCCCCAGCAACAGAGACAAAAACAGCAGAAGGCAAATCTGCAGCCTTAGCAACAGAAGTTGTCAGAAATTCAGGATTCTCCTTCAGGATGCTGACCTGTAGATTTTGCTTGATGACTATTGTGTTTGAGTTCAGCTGAGATGCAGAAAAATTATTCACATGTATTTACTTAGAATAGATTTACTTTAATTAAAAAATAAATTTTTCTGCACATCACGGGCTAAATGGAATTTTCTTAATCATGCAGATAAACTACTCAAATGAGTAGTCTTCATGAAATTAAATGGACTATTCGGTTGAATGAGATCAACTTGTGTGAGCTGACCTTTCTTTTAAAGGACTGCATGATGGAATCCACTCAAAGTCAGTGTTTCCCTATGATATATTCATTTAGGCAGAAAATCCAGGCAGAATAATAATGCTACCTCACTAACACATGTTCATCTGCTTGAACAGAAAATCATAAGCTTTCATTCTGTAATGTTAAGGACACATGCAAAAATTCCTTATGGTTGTATAATTACAGAACCATAGGATAAACCCCAATTTTGTAACTTCAGTGTGATTGTTCTTCTAAGAGCCAAGATATGCAGTGCTAGCTCAAGCCTATTTTCCTGTTCTTTTATTCATACATGTTATTCTTTTATATTTGTTGTAAAATGTGTTTGTATGTTAGAGAAAATACACTGTTGAAATAAAAAGTTGAAGTAAACAGCTTCATAATTTCATAATTGCAAAATAACTAGTGTTTTCTTTCTAGCATTCAAGAACCTGTTTTGTTCTGTTTCATGTTCTGATTGTTTCTAACACCAGTAAAGTCCTTTATAAAGAAATTCTGAGATCTGCAAAGGAAAATCACTACATAAGAACTCGGTGTTGTAATTGCTATTATGATGAGGTAGAAATAGTAGGACAAGATCAGCCTCATGGTGGACATGGGGGTAAAAAATGTCCAAGTTGGGTCATACAATGGCAGAAGGACCTGAGACCATGCTGGGACGCTTTTCTCTACACCTTTATCCTCAAAATTGAGTTGCTGATTACAATTTATTCATAGGAAAGTCTTCTTAAGAGCTTCTTGCCTTCCTCTTCATTTCTCTGGTACAGCTGAAAGGTACAATCCTACAAGTAGTTGAGCTGGCACAGCTGAAGAACTAACTACTATAAGTAGTTTAATAAGAGGGGAAGACTCGGTAGGTGAAGAGAGGAGTGGACAGGAACCTCCTTGATTGCATTTCCTACTACAGCTAATAGCTGTGGGGTGTGTACAGCCAAAATAATAGCATTCTCAGGTAGTGGCTGATCTGTATGGAGAAACAGAATCTGCCGTTTCTTGCAGTTACTTCCTTAACTCAAGAGTCAAAAGCTTATGTTGTGAATATAAGGACTGCAGCTCTGGAAATGACTACACAGATGTAAAGATAATACCAGATGAGGAAACTTTCCATTTTTTATTTGCTTTTTAGAAATCTGTACAATCCCACTGTGTAAAAATACATTAAGAATATTAGCAGGGCACGTTCACATTCTCAAAAGCAAGGTATTAATTCAGCCCACCTGGAAAAATGCAGTAGAAAACAGTCTTTAATTATACACACTTGTCTTACTGCAGCCAGACTACATTAGAATAGTAAAAATGTGTACAATTCATTTCTGGTGTAATTCCACCACTTCTAGAAGGGAAATAAATCTCGGTTATCATGCTCTGTGAGTAGTGAAACTCTTGGAACATTCAAGAGAGAGCAGTAAGCAGAATAATGCTGTTACCAAAATGACTGTCCAGTGACTTCTCTAACGAGACAGATGCTGGTAACATCCAAACAGAAATCTGTGAGAACTTCAAGCCACATTTTGCTGCTATAAAACTGTTGATATTGGGGTTGCCGCCTGTGTCACTTGTGGCCAGAGACAAAACAGAAATATAAAGGATTTTTCCTAGCAATTAATTTCAAAAAACACAAAAGTTTCTATTGTTAAGAAATGAAATGTACTATGGCTTCGTGGGTCTTACTCTGCCCACATTTGCCATGTGTGGTATGGATCATCGAAACCAAGATTGTGGACTTAGCCCAGGCAGACTCTGGTCAGAAATGATGCCTGGTAATCCTGCATTGCCATTTGCAAGTGTTCACAGTGCATCTTTTCAGATAGCAACATCACAGTGTTCACCATTCTCTGCACCTCATAGGAGTACATCATGGCATTCATCAATCATATAATTACCCGTTTGTCTTAATACAGTGTGAAATGTTAACAACCAGTACATAACTGGTGTTGCAGTAGGAGGCCTCCAGGGGTGATAGCCAGCTGTTAAATACAACAGCTAGAAATCACTAACTGCGTGCCTTTATTATAGTTTCATCTCCCTTGAAGAGGTAGTTGAGTTGCAAGTACTTTGTAAAAGAAAGTTACAGCAAATATTTAGAAGACTAGGTGGAGATCAGTCAGTCAGGGAGAGCTGAAACAACAGTTCAGAGGCTTTGTTTCACGTGGCAATGTAGTAAACAGCTGACTGAAGCCCCTGAGGACAGACTAGGCTATAAAAGAGGAATACCGAGGGCACAGAGAGGGAGGAGTTCAGCGTAATGAAAGCTAGTGAAGGAAAACTGGAGGATTTACAAATCAGCTTCTTCTGCGAGCTCTAAATATCTAGAAATTTGAAACAAGCTTCACCCCTCAGGGTCTGTCTCATTTCAAGAATATCAGCTCATGTTCAATCCACCACTGTATACACACTTGCTTACATGGGTTTAAAACCGCATTTTTTATAAACTTTGTGTATAGTCAGAGCCTTCTATAAGGTAAGAAGAGTACTTTGGCAGGGGACATGTTCACTGGATCTATAATCATATATACAGCTGGGATACCTGGTAGTAAAATTTTGTTACAACTGGTAGAAGTAGTGTATATATAGTGCATCAGTTCTGCTGGAGAGTATGAACTCTGTCTACACTTCTAGCATTTTATTTATATGTTGCATAAGTACAAATTACTATGTTAGGTGAAAAATGTAATCCAACATGCATGCACTGCAGAGAAAGATCCTCCTTAAGGAGAATGAATGAGTTTCCAGACCAATGGGATGAAATGCATCCCTTACCATATACTTAGCAAACTCCACTGAATCTGGAAGCACCAAAAAGCCAACTTCTTCACAGTTCAACACTTAGTTTATAGTCATGCTTTTAGTGATGAAATGTCTTCTTTCGGATGGTGTGTTGATATGTCAGCATCTGCAATTTTGGGGAAGAGGAGTAGTTTCTAGACAAGAATGAGAATCCACAGGGGTAATATTCATTTAGTCCTTCAGTTGTTGATCAGTCTTTTGACGCTACCAAAAGCACAATAGATTAAAATAAGACTAAATTTACAGGTTTATTCCTTGGAAATGGTCACATCAAGACTATACATTTCAAGTAGCAGGCTTTCTACACCTGTTGAACATCTGCAGCAAACACCTTGAGTCAAATCTGAATTGTTTATAGCCAAATTATTCACTAAGCTGTGAGCCACCTTGGGCCTGGCACCACATGTGAATTAAGAAGCTCCTTGGTAGTTCTCCAAAACTAAAAACTCAACGCAAAAACCTATATGGCTCTGTGGAAACCAACCCAAGACGGGGCTGATGCCAAGTCTGAACTAATAAGCTCTGGAGTCCCCATTCGAAGCTTCTCAAGTGACTGCACAGTGCTTTCCAGTATGTCTCACAATGTCAATATTACTTAGTGTGTTTTTTTTCTATTACTGGGATTTATTTCAGCGTGATAGTTGCTTGTACTTTCATTTCCAAGAATTTTAATGAAAAAGTTCAGATTCAAGTTTGGGATTTATATTGCTGTAAATGACACACACTAGATCTCAGTGCTATTTTTCAAGAGTCTGTTTCAAAAGGCTGTTTGAGCAGTTCAAGTTTTAAAGAAAGGCTCTTGACCTGGTGAACTCCAGTGGGAAACAAAAGTTGCTATTTCTCCAGCACATAAAGCCCTGCAGTGTGTTAGTGTGCCAAATTTCAGTTTTCTAGTTTAATGGGTATATGCCAATTAATTATATTTCAATAAAAGAAGAAACCATATTGTATTGCAGTTACTGTAGTTCTCAGCAGGTCTCCCTGCCCAAATCCCAGGGAGCTGAAAGCAATTTAAGTAATTCAGGTGCCGTGCCAGGCCTGAGATGTTTCTGGACACCATGGATCATCTCACTATAGATAATCAGGAGTTGATTGTGGGTATATCAGACTGTGAAACTCTGTTGTATAATTATACTAAAATCAGTGTGTTGCAGTAGTAATTACTTTAATTTTGAATAAAAACTTCTGTTTCATGATGTTTGAAGCAAATTAAAGATGCATCAACACATCCCCATGTCGTAGTCCCTAGAGGCCACTAAGAATATTTTAGTATCTATTAGTGTTTCACAAAATAGGGCTGAAAGACATGGGGCTGTCCTAATGGCATTAAGAACCTACAAATAGCGAGCACCTATGATTATAGTTACAGGGTACAATACAAGCAAGTTCTTCAGCAGTGTTTGTAGTAAAAGCAACTATCTTTTTGTAGTCTTATGTACATCATACCTTCAGTAGTCATATTTAAAAGAAATCACTTATTATTAGTTTCTTAGGTTCTTCTTCAATGCCTTGTATTTGAACACATGGATAAAAGATGAATGGAGTCAGTTCTACGATTCACTGTATGTAAAAGAGAACTGGATTGATCCACTGCTAAGGTAAGCAGTACTTAAGTAGCCTGTGGCTACCTCAAAGTTGAAAAGCTGAGGAAAGCTTCCCCTGAAAGTTCAATTTGCTGTTCAAGTGTCTCTCCTATTGAAGTCACTCGGAACGCTTCTTGTCTTGGAGAGACTATAGTAATCCTTTTACTTACCCAGAGGGTCTCTCATAGAAAAGTCCTTTCGTAGCTGTTTTAAGTTTGTTTCTCAGTGCCCCTGAATAGATCAAACGTCATACTCTGAAGAAAAGAAAAACCAAACCAAAACAAAAAAAACCCTATAAGGTTCAAATTACCTTACAGAGTTAGACTTGTGCCTCATAAGTCACTTCAACATCTGTATGACATTAAGTGTATGAAAAAACATGTTTGACTTCCCTGAGTTTGGCTCTATGCATAGACTTGTTTATGCTGATGGTCATAAAATCCCTTCTGAACACATCAGATAAGCATGTAAACAAGTCTTTTAAAATTACTGTTTATTTACACAATTGCAGCATCGTTTAACAGTTTAAATGCTCTGAAGTGCCAGGTGTGTCCACACATTGGTTAGGTGGTGATACAGTAGCATGACTACCCTTGCCAAACTGGAACATTTTCATGTGGAGAAACAGCAGCTCTGCAGCCTATTGTGCCACTTTTTCACTCTCATTTTCACCCAGGACACATAAATTAGAGCTTGCATTGGCACACCTATGTGGCTGCAATCACACATCCTCCTCACTGCAGTATAGATTAACCCAGATGATGGCAAACAGTTAGACTAAAATATGTTACAACGTCAGCTGAAAAAGAGTTTGCATCTAGTTCTAACTGTTGTATCAAAGTCAGTAGAATTAATTCTTTCATACTATGTAGATTATGCCAAATTAGCAAATGTATAGATTTGGCTTGCAATGCTCCAAATTCCATTCCGTTCTACAGGAACTGCAGGGATATATTTGAAGTCAGAAGTTGACTCAATGCATTCCACTGTAGTAATTCTAATTCTAACATATGCTTAGAATAGTATAAAGATACAGATAGAGATGTATAGATGGAGGTATACACATATATCCACACACTTTTTATATGTACATATGCATGCAGGCAGACGCTTAATCTATGGCTTGTTTCGTTAACACTGAGCTTATTGGAGCTGTCCTTCGCAGTCAATTACATTCAATGTAATGAACACGTGTTTTGCCTAGAAAAGTAGTAAATGTAAGTTGTACAAGAATGCTGAAGGCCATATTTGGTTACTGGGTTTGAAACTTCCTTCAGGGGGCTGAGGATGCATTGATCAGTTTAATCAGTTCAGTAACTTAAAGTCTTTTAAATATGCCTTTGTATTCCTCTTTCTAATATCAATGAGGTTAATATAAACAGTTCTATTTATTTTAATGGCGCTGCATTACTTGCAGAAGTTACTTGCAAGCTTCATCCCATAATGCCAGTACTAGCTAAGGTAACAGTAAAGAAGTTACTGTAAATTTGCATTGTTGGCTGCTTTTTAAGTTCTGGGAAAGGTCCATTGCATGTGTAATACTTAAGGATAGAACACATATAGAAGAGGGATAACTGACATGAGGCTGTCACCATCATTAGCCCTGTGATAACCAGTTTTGCCTTACCTTGAATTCCGCACCTTCCTGTCATGCCTGGGAAGAAGTCTGAACCTTCATACAAGCCAAAATCCAAACACAGAGAAATCAAAATCATCTTGACTGCCCCGCAGGGTTCATTTGCTAACTCACCAAACTCCTTCAATATTTCTATTTTTTTATTAGAACTGCCTGTGCTATGAGATTGATTTATCTGAGCTCTGTCAGTAGGCGAAAGTGGCAATACTCAGACCACTGTTTGTTCATAGTTTCTTCAGCTAAGTTAAGTGTGCGCTTAGCTTATGACAGCTGCTTTGCTGATTCATAGTCTGGTCCTGCTGTGAAATGAACTGGTGACATAGTGGCTTATTCAGTAAAAACTGGCTATTTCACCGCTAGTAGTCTGAATGGATGAGCATCTATTGAGGTGAAGTAACACAGTCCAACTAAATCATGAGTACAAATTCATAGGTCGAATTTATTAAAATTGAATGGCTGAAAGCATTACAGAATTTGCACCAATACCAACCTCATATACTGCATGTAAGTTTGTATCAAAGAAAAAAATGAAATAAAATTGAAAAATCTGTTTTTATTTGAAGGTGGCAGCCAAAAGTACAGCAACTGATTGAACAGCTCACAGATAAATTAAGTAATCGTACTACCACTGTCAAGACTTCGACGGTCACTCAGCCAAAGGAATTTAATTTGACTGTACCCAAACCACGTGCCATTCCTATACCTCTGCCAATACCGGTACTGGAAAAAAGGCCACCTGTGAGTTTTTTTGTGCTTTGAGAGATACTACATTTTATGTATGCTTGTGCACAAAATCATAGTAGGGGAGTTAATAGTCTCTTTCAAAATAACTGTAGAAAATCTACAACATTTGACAAGTCAACAAGGATTTCTGTAATAATCTGTGTTATTGAAGGTCAGATTTCTAAAACAAACCAAACTAATTCTTTTCATTTCAGTGAATGTTGTGTAGGAAAATTGTAAGCCAAACAAAGGAAAGGGAAAAGGTTGGCTCCTGTAGCTGTTTTCTGACTTTTAGAGATAGAACTATACAATGGGTACAAATTGATTTCAGCATTGATACAAGTGTTTCTGGTAGTCCTTGGATTTGTAAGATGTTTGCTTTGGATAATGCACTGAAGCAGGTAAGAAAAGAACATTCAAATGACACATTTTTTATAAACTTAGATTTTTTGTAGACAAACTCTCATTAAAATAAATGGCAAAGCAATTTCACTGGAGATGAGATGGACTCTAGGTTTGCAGCTCCTCCTTGAGGGTGCAATTCTATTTGTATTAATGTTGAATCTGTAAAATTAAGGTTTTTCAGTTTAAATTTATTGCTCATGTACAAATGAGACTAGATTTATCTTTGAAATGCTACGCTTTTGTTTTACTCATTGCCTAAGATTGTGATTCAGTTACACGGGTGCAAATCGGAGACTTAGAATTGGTTTTAAGTTAGCTCACAGGGGTAAAGCAAACAGGATTTGGGATCAAGCTGCTATGACTAACTTAATAAAGACTCCAAAATCATCTATATTTAAATGCAGTGGGAAGTGAGCTTGGAAGTCATAGTTTTGGGCATTATCTGCCACCTTGTATTAGCACTTCAGGTTTTAAATAATACATGTGTTGAATGCTCTTAGAAACCATTTACATCTTAGGATGGCAGAGTAATTTAATGGTAGTGTGTTATACAGTTAATGGGATTTTACATTGGAACAGCTTAATACCAGGCTCTGAAAAACTGCATTTAATAACTACTTAATCAGTATAGGAATGAGTCATATTGCTGTCATTTTAGTACCTTTATGCTGTGCAGCCCCTCTTAGAATAAATTTGCTTTAATGCGGATGCATTTACTGAAGTTCATTTGTGGTGTTAGGATTATACTAAGTTTGGTTTACATTCTGGCCAAGTCTGCAAATTTAAAAGCTTGTACGAACCTAAACCCATTAGCGTAGTAGTGACATATGTTGTGCTCATTTCGTACCTATCTCAGCAAATTAAGCTCTGCTTTAATTTGCCATATTGTTGCCAGTATCACTATTTTAGATCCTGAAATGAATAGAGACTGAAAAGACAGCCCAGATGGCAAGAAAGAGTAAAATCAGAGCAGGCCATAGTTTTGGCTACAGCATGGTGGAGAGTTGTATGTAATTGAGAGGAATGCATGGAAATAAAGCTCTTCCAGATTACATCCCATAACCTGCTGCAGAAATGTTCTCATCTATTTTCTCACAAAGTTGTTAGTTTTGTGAGATATCCATTTTTTCTCACGCATCTGTCAAAGAATTGTCGTGTGGCATATTAGCAGGGACTATTGTAGTCATAATAGCTATAGGCATAGTTACTGCTCGACTTTGATACAGCTGTATGAATTCATATGGAGGCGTCTGGATTTTGAGCAATGACTACTGATAAGTTATTGCATCCTTATGGTGAAATTAGTTCATTCTGATTAATTGGATTATTATTTTAGGTATTTCTTTTTGCTAGGTTGCATTATATTCTATAGTAAAGATAAAATGCAGAGTAAGATGAGAAGTATCACATACATTGAGTTCAGGAGCTGGGATGGCACTGCTGTCCTGTACACTGAACACATGCTTCCTTTGCAAGGGAGGACTGGAGATGTGGGTTGTTGCAGAAGGCAGGGTAGTTGTCTTAGTTATCTCTATTGAGATGGGACTCTCCACTCACCTTGGAAAGTTGCATTTGAGTAACATAGGCCTAGAAGGTTAGGATAATCATTCGTTGTCATAAACATTGGTTGTCATAAACATTCATCAGAAGTGGAGGACACTAAGTGAAAAGGAAAAAACACTTTAATTTTGAAATTTCATAATGAAACTTTTCACTATAAATATTTGGTCTAAAGATTATAAATTCTTCTCTTCACTGTCGTTTGCAGACAAGCACATGGATGCACACACAAGCATGCCCATATGCATACACACATTCATAAATACAATTCTACAAAGAAAAATGAGTGCTTTAGCTTAAAGTTTGCAAAAGAATCAAATGGAGACAGGTGCTTAGACCTGCTAACAAGCAAAATGATTTGGACAAATTTCACTTTTAATGTCACCACGGTACTAGAATAATAGGATTCTGCAATTATTTTAATTTTAGATGTTCTGCAAACCAATAATGTAGTTAAAAAAATAAAAAGGCTGCACTGAGATGTTATTGTAACACCATTCAGCCAAATTTAGTGCATTTTTTAGATATTTTCCTTATTATTTCAGCTGTGCTTTATGAATGGAGTTGCTTGATTGTTTAAAATAATTAAATGGGTGAATTAATTTGGCCAATACAGAGGATTTTGTTTGCACATATATACCCAACAATATATTTATCTTTATGATCTCATGTATAAAAATAGAAGCTCTTAATACAATAGCATTGCATTAACCTGTCCTTGTCCATCTTATCACAGTAACTTTAAAAGAATAGAAGAGTGATGACTACCAAAGTTCAAGTGATTATTCATTTTGTTCTTCCTTAAACTTCTTGTGGTACCTACTCCCTAAATAAACCTCTGATAAAAGGATATCCAGAAAGCATAAGTGAGCCTGACCACTGGCTGGAGAGGAAGAGGAAGGTTGGTGTCTCTTGCTCCCAGCCCCCCTTTTTTAACATTAGGATTAAGTAGGTACAAATTGGCCTTTTTGATCTCTCTATTGCTGGAATTTACAATTTACTTACAGTTACTTATTCATCCTCTTCTGGCAACTGGGTAATTGCTGCATTGTCTGTCTGTCTGTCTGATTGGTACTCATCATTGTGATATCTGAGGGCTAAATTACAAGGCTAAGATCATTTTGAAACAGAGCTGATTGAAAAGTCTCCTCCTTAAATTACTTGGAATAAGCATAGCAGTTTCTAAGGAGAGATTTTCAGCTTACACTGGCAGATGAGTACAGTTTTGCAGGTAAAGTGCATGACTAGGAAGAAGAGTGAAATAAACTGATACTCACTGCCTGTGCAACCCTTTGCAAATCCTCTGGGCTTTAATTTCTCCATCCATAAAAGCATAATAAAAATTCTTAGATACTGCTGGGAAATACTTTCAGTTCTACTTCACTTAAAAAGCTCACAAAAATACTTCAGCACTCTCACCAGTGTATTAATTGCTAGCTGCTTCTGTTTGTGCATTTGTTTTGCCTGTAGATAATGATGTCGAATAGCAAAGACAGTGGAAAGTACATCAGATTCATGAGTTTTTCTAAGCATAGCTCTTTATATAGTTCAATAAAACTAGATGGGATCCCTGTGTTCCCTAAACTGACCTCCACTATACAGATTATAGATTTTTCTCATTAATTCTTGAATTAATTCTGTAACTTCTAATTGAGCTAGAACATTTTTAGCAAGATAAATATTTAAGCAGATGTCCAGTAAACTGGCAGACTATCTCACCCACATAGGCAGGAGACATCCAATTTTTCAGAGTTTTTATTTGCTCAAGCAAATATTGAAATGCCCCAGAAGTTTCAGCCCAACTCAAGACCATGAAGTCCCCAGTCTCCTGTTGAATTCATATGACAGCCAGACCATAAGTCTTGTCTGGCCATTGGATCTGTAGCCCTTTCTGACATGTGAATGCTTTTCCAACTCTTTGAGTAACACTAGGAGGGCCCTCTCAGTCCTCTACCTCAAACATTTCATCTACACCTCCAATAGTATTCCCTTACGAAGAATTCCCTACAGGCTGAGTGTTGGGGTTGTTAAGCCTGGAGAAAAGGTGGCTCCAGGGAGATCTAATTGCAGCTTACCAGTACCTGAAGGGGCCTACAGGAAAGATGGTGAGGGACTGTTTGTCAGGGAGTGGAGTGACAGGACAAGGGGTAATGGGTTCAAGCTGAAGGAGGGTCGATTTAGATTAGATGTTAGAAAGAAATTCTTCCCTGTGAGAGTGGTGAGGCACTGGAACAGGTTGCCCAGAGAGGCTGTGGAGGCCCCATCCATGGAAGTGTTCAAGGCCAGGTTGGATGGGGCTTTGGGCAACCTGGTGTAGTGGAGGGTGTCCTTGCCCGTAGCGGGGGAGGGGATTGGAACTAGATGATCTTTGAGGTCCCTTCCAACCCAAACCATTCTATGATTCTATGATTCTATGACGTTAGGACAGCCATAGCAGACCAGAGCAAAGGCCCATTTTGCCCAGTGTATTTTCTCCAGTAGTGGCCAAACACAGATGTCCAGGAAGACTACAGGAACAGGGCAAGCACAGCTGCTTGCTTTCTCCAACTGCCTTCTCAGTCTCCCACCATTTCCTCTCAAAGACTTCCTTAGTTACAATGATGTTTCCAGGTATTTAACACATTTCAAAGGATTTCTCTTCCCTAAACTTCTTGGGAGTCTCTGTAAGTTGTTGCTAGTACCACACACTGTGCCAAAGAGCTCCAGAGCTGAACTTTATTCAGCTGCCCTATCTGGCTGTCAGTGCTGTGAAGATGAAGTTTATGAGATGCCAAACAGAACTTTTCCCCTTCTGGCAACTTCTTTTTTTTCCCATATAAGGGGAAAAATCCTATAGGGGGAAAAATCCTATAGGGCCTATAGGATTTATTATTTCTTTAGCTTTTCTTGTACTAGTTTCAGATTTTTCTTTCTTTCTGGTCTTTTGTCCAGGGGTTATATTACATTGGACAGGACTGAAAAGCCTGGGTAGTCCCAGCTAGTTGGAATCTGTCCATGTCTTCTACACTGGCACTAACAGAAAAGAATCAATATTTTAAAAATAACTGCAGCTGTTCTATGGTAAAAGTGAATGTGTTTTTTTCCTGGAAGAATGTGTCACTTGGAATGTTTTATACCCCATATTGTGGAGATTATTGCCTTTTAATATAGGTTCCTCCAACCACCTACAAACCTCCAAAGGAAAAAAAGCAGCTAGAGGAAATCAAAACAAAAAATCGCCGAAAAGCAGAAGTAAGTGTATTATGTTCTTGTTCTAGTATTTTCTTTCTTCTAAACTGTTTCTTCCGTAATATTCCATTTTCACAAGTCTTAGAACTTTATCTGAAACATACTTGCTTTTGCACCTAATAGGTCCTGGCTCTTTCTCCAGAGTCATGAAGTTCGTATCGTCTGTTCTGTTCTATCACCCTTTTTCCATCTTCCTTACTTTATTATTAATTGTCTGAGACAAGGTCTAGCTTTTATTCACTGTACAAGTACTACGTGAGAAATTATGGAAGCAGCCATGTCAGGCAGCAGAAACATGATTACTTTCTTCTCTTCAAAACCTTGAAATAGTTTGATGGCTCTTTCACTCCCACAGGACATGTGGATATTTAAGGTATTCAATTATTAAGGCTTCAAAATAAAAAATATGTTCAATGTTATTATTTGTTTTCTGTAGTAACTGATAAATAACCACATGTCATCACCCACTGTTTTAAAACATCAGCAGATTCTTACTTCTTTTTTGTGCAGGCTCCATTCTCTTTCCTTCAGCAGGCTGAGTGGGAAGTCATCATGATTTGTAAAGAAGCAGAGTACATGGTCTGTGTGTTAAGAGAGCAGGAGAAGGGAGGGCCTGGAAAAACAAAGAAACAGATCTAGTTATTTGATCCAAACTTTGATATGAACGCTGTTCAATGAGTTAGCTCCTATCATAGTTAAAGCAGATTGTTGTTGTCTTCTCCTTGGAAGAGAATTAATTAAATGTCAGTTTGCACTTTCTTCCGCCCACACTGCAATCACCATATCCAATCGAATAACAGTATAAGCTTGATAAAAGGCACACTATTTGACTCCTTTTTATCTGCACTCTCCCACTCCCATTCTGAAAATGCCTTACTCTAGCTTTCACTAGCCAGTACAAGTGCATTTATCACTGTTCTGGGCTCTCCTTATGTCCTTGTGAAAGGGGCACTGGATTCTGTTCCTAAACTATAGTAAATGCTTTAATGTGTGATAGGTTCTAGGGGGATGAACTTTGCATGCCTTTTGCTGGGCCATCACATTCCCTATGCTTGAATACAACATTACTTTTTATCCTTTTATTATTTCCATATCGTGGAGAAAGTACACGCCTATTTGTGTCCTTCTTTGTATGTACAAACTTCCTAGAAAAACTGGGGAGGAAAAACAAGATGTCACAAAGCCTATAGTGTCAAAAGTGTATGACAACTATAAAATCACTTAACTACCAGCCACATTCTTCAGTGGAGAAAATGCAGGAATACAAGGAACAAATGAAAAATGCTACAGAAATTATAGCTGCAATAACAGCGGGTTTTGTTGCCTCTGGAATGTTATAAAAGGCATCCAAAGCATTCACAAAGGTCAGTTCCCTAGACTGTTTGCTAAACCAGCTGAAATGCTGGGTCTTAAAAGAAATATGCATTAAAAATGCCATTTGTTTCATAGCATTTTTGCAGAAGCTATCGCTGTCATTATAAGTACCATGTCAGAGCATCTGTAAGGAGGAGAGAGAACACTGGTGCCCATGCTCTAGACAGTTATGGAAGCATTGATGTTATGGACAGCTACTGTCCAGAAAACCATTAGAAAATCTAGTCTGTGTTTCACAGCTTTGATTAGAGATTACTGTTTACAACCAAAAGAAAGACCCAAAAACTAGAAATGTGGCTGCCTGTATGTTCCCCTTTAAAATGACAGGTGGAATTACTGTTAGGGGTGTGCCTGTTGGAGCAACCCTTGGTGCTCACATCCCCTGATCATAGTCTTCTAATTTAACTCAAAAGCAAAGCCATTGGTCTTTAGCTATGGTTTTTAACTATGTGGAAACCATTACTACCTATGGTACTGATGTGGCATAGATAATTATGAGGCTTTTAAGTTGAATTCTGGATGAGCAACATGTTTCCTATGGGCAGACCTATCAAAGGCCCAATGCCCTATGCAAAAGATACAACCAGGCAGAACTAGGTAGAAAATCAAGGCTTGCCTACTGCAAGACTTTAATCAGGAATGAAAATTCATGTAAATACTAAGTCAAGATTTCATTCATTGGAAACAAATTAATATACCGGTCTGGGACGCAAGGCCTTTCAAGGCAGAAAATTCTTATTAGAGAATTTAAATGTATCATGATCTTTAAGCTAATTGCTTTAATTGTAGGATCTGCTCCTGAAAGCAAATGTTAACCAGTTCAGGTGTGCAACCATGAAGCCTGAAAAGGGAGAGGTATGCTACAAAATATTTTATTACATTAAAATCCCTCAGTATGAAGATGAAAAATGGCTGGAGAATTTAAAGATATCTCAAAGTATTTGAAAATTTTGTTTATTTGGGATTAGGAATTATGTGCCGTCATTTATAGCTGTACTGTCATTTCATATCCATACATGAACATTTGCCTCTTTGGATGCATAATGCACAACCCCCTTTTCTCATACTTCTGGTGCTGCTTTACTATTCTCCCAATTTTGAGACAAGCAGCCTTCCTGTGACACTACTCCAAGTCTGCAAACTGGCAATATTTCTCTAAACCCACATATTATTTTTTCCATTAACTTTTATGCCACAGAGCAGCCAAGCTGAGGGAATAATGGTCCCATTCATACAGAATTCCTGCTTTGGTTGATTCCCAGTTCACAACTCTGTCACCAAACTATGTATGTAATATATTCATTTCAGCATCACATCTGCATATTCTATTCACTGTGTTCATCCCCATGATACCAGACACTTTCACATCAGTATCTAGTGCTAACACCATAAAACTAAATTAATAGGCATCAGTAGAATTCTACCACCATTTAATAATTTCATGAAGTGTGCTTTGACACCCTGTTTTGTCTTCCCAACATGTATTGCAGTTGAGGTGAATATATTCATATATACAGGTAATAATTCATAGTCAAAATATCACTGTTACTTTTTTAGCATTATTTTAGTCAATAAATTTTAGTCAATAATTATTTATTTTATTTATTTTAATTATCTTAGTAAAAAAATTATTTTAGTCAATATTTGGACCTACCTTAGTATGGTCATTTGATATGAAATATCCCAACTAAGTTGAGTGTTCACAGCTAGTTTTTGTGGATATAACAATTCCAAATTACATCCCCTATGATTGTATATGTTCTCTAGATGAATATTCAAGAGTGATTTTTAGTAAATATCTAATATCTTTTGCTGAGTACTTGAAAAATTTGTCACTGAAATGAAATAATGTATTTTTGGTTTGAACTGCAGAACACACATGACAGTATGAAGAGTAAACCAACATTCCAGGCTCAAAAGATCCCAAGCAAGGTGAGTAACCTTTAAGGTACTGTTGTCAGATGTACTTGAAAACTTTGGAGTGAAAAACACACATGCAAATTCTGTGAAGATGCAAACTCTACTGGAACCCATGTTTTTACACCAAGGTCTGTGGCTGGGAGAATAGGATGGATTGGGTCTACAGCTCATAAATTTTGGCCTATGCACCATTAACAATTAAACAAAGAAATGGTCAGGAAGCAATAAGAGTGTGGCTACACCAGGAGGGAAAAGAAACAAGGAGCCAAAGGTAATGAAAGCATAGGCAGTGCCCTCACAAACCAGGCCACCGTTCTGAACATGACAGGTTCTGCTGACAGCAAGTCATCCTTAGACAAAGCAAGGTAACAAGTCAGGTCTGGGGTCCAGTCGGCAGACAAGGCTACAACAACAACCCAGGTCCATGACAGCAGGAGACAGAACTGGAGAGAAAACTGGGAGCAGAATTACCTCCAGCATAATGGGAAAGGACTGAAGCCCCTATCTGAGCTTAAGTGGGGCTCCTGGACCAGTGAGCAGAAGGTCTGAGAGGAGGTCCTACGTAAGGCTGGTCAGGGCGATTAAGACCTGTTGGTTCCCTCAGGGCCCTGATGGGTAAGTTGTGTGCAGTTGCACACTGTAACCATATTGCCTTAACAGTGTGTTCAATTCCAAAGACACAAATTTGTAAAATGATAAGGATTGAGAATAGTCCACAGGAAAAAAAAAATAATTGTGAACCCATGGTTTAAGAGCTCGGCATAGGGACAGAAGAACCTTGCGTCTGTAAATCACTGTTCTGAAATGAGATCCTAAAGAATGCTGAGCAATCATTCCAGCTAATGACTGTGATACACAATATACAATCAGTCCAGGTGTTTGTCTTGTTGCCTTTAGAGACATACTGAGGTCATAAAATCCACTATACTGATTGCTTCTCTGCTAGGATTTCCAAGGGTCAGAGAACTGTAAACATGGAAAATGGGCTCTTCAGCCTTAATGCTATAACGCATGAAAACTCACATTGCTATTTCTGCGATAACTGTACTACAGATAATCTTCAGTCTTACATCATTCAATCTGTCACCTTTCATTTGTTTCAAGTTCATATGCAGAATAATTTCATGTGGAAGCTGTGCTTGTACTGTGACCTCAAATACCTTGTGAGCAGGTCTATACTCATATGCACTTTGGAAAAACTGATTCCCTGCTTGGAGGACTGGGCATCTGGCAACTATTCCTAAAGCATATCTGGCATTTATCACCTAATGAAGTTGTCTTTAATAACAGTATCACCTACTCAGTCTGCTTGCTTACAATCCAGCAGCATTTTAATTACAGGAAAGTAAGATCCCAGTTCCTTCTGTACTCAAGAGAGGGGAAAAAACCAAAACTAGGAAACATTTACATAATTAACCCAAACGCACGTGACCTGTAATTATGTGGACTTTGTTCAAGAGTATATACAGTCCACTTGCTTTTCTGATAATTTAAAATACTGAAACCTTAGTGTGGACTAGTGAGAGGCAAACCATCTGCCTAAACTGCATGAAGAAAAATATGGATCTGGCATCTTCTGGCACTGATCAGGGCCACTTCCAACACCTGCTAATATGTCCTCTAGGAGCACAATCAATTTTATCTCATCTGAACACATTTGCCTCAAAGGTTGGTTAGGTGATATTCAAGATGCTGCTGTAACTTTTAAGCTGAGATAGGCATATTGTTACTGACTTTTGAAATGCTTTCTATTCCTATTGCCTTCCTGCCTGTGCAACTCTGTGAGTAGACACATCCTAAGAGGAAGGTTTATCCAAGATGTATAAATAAGATTATAATCTACCCTCAAATTAATGAAATTACATAATGTTTTAACCAACTAGTATTTTCCTTTCCTCTTTTTAGAACACCCATAGTATATGAAATACTTTTTTTCATTTCAGACACATTTATTATGTGCAGCAGCAATTATTTCTCATTGCTGTTACAAAATATCTATTCGTCCTTTTCACTGGAAGAATGAGACAGAACAAATGCATCATCACTCTGTCTCAACCTGCCTCTTGCTCATATCAGGCCTTACTCTTTACATATTTATTGATTTTGGTGAGCTATTGTGTGTTCATTAGGTGGAAATAGTGGATACAATTTCTTTCCACAAGAATTACAGTATTCTGCAATTTTCCGATTATTTCCATTTTCTCATCTTGAAAAAGGGAAGATATCTCACGACAGGAAGAGAACAAGTAAAATTCAAAACTTCCTTGATACCACATGACATAGAAGAATCTATTCAGTTATTTTACTTATACCTGTCTGCATCTATCTGGGACTTCTACTTATTTTGACTATATGGGCTGTCATATTTCTGTTTCATTGTCATACAGTCATATTTCTGTTTAAAAAAACAGGAAACTGAAGTTAAAGGTATATCCATAATAATTCTTAGTTCAGTTCTCTATCCAAATTATAGTTAGTAAATACAGAACGTGAAATCTGTATACACAGGTAATTGCAAAAAATATGAAAGTTTCCACGTGTCAGAGAAAATGTCTAAGTAGACATTTTATACACACTGTAGTGTATAAAATACAGGCTAGGGAGAGAATGTTCATATAATGAAGAAGACTTTGAGAAGAGTTGAGAAATAAACCAAAAGAAAGGAAGGACACCATTAGGCATTAAGAAGAGTAAGCATACCGAGTCAGACAAAAGAAATAAAATACATTGTTTGGGGTTCTTTTCCTAAATTCTTCAAGTTATCATCATTTTGTCAAGAAACAGGCTACTACTATTTTTGTCTATTAAAATGTGCCATCTGTGTGGAAAACACAGTTATTCTACTTAGTGAATTTCTAGGTGATAGCAGTGTTTGTTACCCTCAACCTACCTAATTAATACCAATTATAAAACATCCTTTTTCCAGTTAGCTTATGTATTTCAGGAGACTGCAGTACATATTTGTGCGTACAATATTTGCAGTATATAGCTTGGGTGATTCTGTGCATCTGTTTCTCAGCCACTCATTAAGCTGTTAGTTTGGAATTTAAATACATGTTTGGATTCCGAACACAGAACTTGACTGGATTTAGGTCAAACATGTCATGACTAAGCTTTGTTTTCTGCAGGAATGATCTTAGTTCTTATCCCACCAGCACTGCTCTGCCTTGGTTCAGATCAGGTCTCTTGTATGTGTCTGCAAAGGTGATCTATTTTTTTCTGAATAGCCTACTTGTGCAGGGAACATTTTTAACTGACAGAGAAGTTGTTCCCTTCCTCCCTCAGTATTTAGAGGTTGTCTGGGAGTTAGTCCTAAGGCAATACTTTGAAGAACTGCAAAGCAGCCACGGGATCTAGTCCAAGTTACACCATGAGGCCTGCAAGTCACTGAGAACTGTATTTCACTTCTACTATCTAGAAAATGGATATGGCAATTGGTGATGCCAGTTGTCTTAGAAATATTTTGAAGTTATAATAGTGATTATTGGTAAAACACTTCTGATGCCTTCCTATGAATGGTACTGCTTATGTTTTACTTGAATGGTTTGGGCTAACTTGCTGTCTTTCCGAGAAGCAGTTTATTTTCTTTGTCCAAAGCAGATGGAATCCCTGCACACTATGTATATGAGCACTGAAAAAAATGAAAGGAAGTGAACACATTCTATGGGATTTGACATGGTCCAAGAGTGATTACAAATTTATAATCCACTTGGGGGACTTTGCTGATTTCTTAAGCAGCTTGAGTGGTTTATGAACAGCATGGAATTTCATTGTGAATGTCAGATTAATGCTAGATGAATGCTTTAAGCAAAATTTATGCTGTTTTAGGTCGATTTATTTAACCCATTGGAATGTTTTTATACTCTGTTTTATGGTTTACATTACTAATTATAGTATATACATTCCCTTTCCTGACAGATTGACAATATACCTATTAAATTAAATGCTGCAGCTATTTTAAGAGAGGGTGCCCTCTATCAGCGGAAAATGGAACAGGAGCTCAAGAGGTATGTATAATCATGTTTCTTTCTCAGATTATTTTTCACATTCCTGGATATAGAATAATTAACCACATTAAAAATAACTAAGTAAATTCCAGGTAAACTAGAATAATGGATCTGTTGTACAGCATTTGGAAGTTATTCTATAATCACGGTTGACAAATAAAGAGAAAAGTGGACTGAAATGAAAGTCTTTTTTTTACTGTAGATGCTATACATTGTAGCTGTATCCTGATTTAGCACTCTGGCTACTATCCACTTGCAAATTCCAGTAAGGATTACTTGTTATATTTATTCCAATTCTCCAGAATAAATAATAACCCAAATACACATCTATTTCTGTGTCCATTATAAAAGATGCATATATATTAAGCACAATCATTTCATATACCTCCATTTTTTAAAATGGTTTGTGGCCAACTGCATGCCAAATTTGATACTTGAACTTGTTTATATGTATATAAAACTTGTTTATATGTATATAAAAATACCTGTCCATTTCTATCACAGTAAGATATGGAGGACTAAGGGTGTGCTGCTCCACAAGGCAAGATGAGCCAGGAGCTGAGGGTGATGGCAAGGCATGCAAGGACAATGTCCTCACTGACAGCAGCTCAGTTCCACAGTACCCTGGCAAGGCAGTGGAGCAGATCCAGGCACAGACAGCAGGGTCAGCCAGCGGTCCAGTGATTGCTGTAGGAGTCTGCAGTGACGAGTCAGGGCCGAGGTCAAGCCAGGAAGCCACGTCAACAAGGCAGGGTCAACAGGGTACTAGCCCGGGTGCAGGCGTACCTTCAGCGTAGCTTGGGCAAGGACAAAGGCTGTTAACGTCAGCTTAAATGTGGCTCCCAGGAAGAAACTACACACACAACAGGACTTTTCATAGCTCTTCCTGACACAGCTCTTTTCACTGCAGTCTGATCCAATGTTACATGGTTGCACTGTAACAGAGCTGTCTTTGAACACCGGAAATCCTGATACAAGGATTCCTCCGGCATAAGGAATTCTTATTCAGCAGCACAGGTTTTCAGCTGACAGTAACTAGGGAGAGGGTGACTCCTGAATGGCCACTGCAGGTTGTATTCTATAACTAGAATCACAGAACATTTTCACTAAAAATTTTAACAAATATAAAACCTATATCATGTCATCTTGATTTAGTATTACTTCTAATCCACCGGATTTAGCAGGCTAAGGACTACATATTGTTAGTATTTTAAATCCTGGAATGACTGCCTAAGGTTGGATTTGGTCTTTGGACCTAGCAAATCTTGGTATATGGATGAGGATTTTAGCAGTAAGATATTATGCATCACTCAGGTTCTGTTATCAGCTATGTATGTATATTGAGGTTTTTTTATATTACATATGATACTGTTCATTCTATCTGGCAGAATGTTGTTCCACTCAGCAAAGGAATAGATTTCCCCATAACTTAACATTATTTTATATTAATGAGTTTTAATCTTCAGCTGCATTTAACACACAACAGATACATCTATATGTATGCATTGGGGAGCAGCAGTAAGGCACAATTCACTGTATTTTTGTGTCTCTGCCCCAATTCTTGTCTTGTTCAATCCTCTGCTGCAGGACTTTGATGGGCCTGCCCCAGGGCTTTGCTATGCTTTTCTCTCTCAGCCAAGCACAAAAAATAAGAATGTAGGTTTGCTTAATAGTTGAATACTTCTTTGCCTCATTGCAGCAATATTATTTAATTGACAAAATACAAAACAGAACTAGAATTAAGCAGAAAAATTTTTAGTTCTCTGTGTTAAAGTGATCAAGAACACTACCAAAGAGAAAAGTTATTTGTTCTAACTCTAAGCAATGTAATCCTCTGAGAAAATGTACATACCTTCAGCCTGATTCTCCTTGCTCCTTATGAGAATCCATATGTAGCTAAAGTTTGCCCTCTCTTGGGGCTTTGTTTTACTGAAAACTTTTGGGGCCATGCCCTCACGCACTTTCTTCCAGCCTGGCTTTCCCAGGCTTTCCACACAGTAGGAACATCTCTTAGACTGGAAATAAATATATCTGTGAAATGACTTTGCGATGACCGCCTTTTATCTCTGCAGAGATCAAACACCTTATATCACAACAAACTACTAGAAATGTTTTATGAACCAAGGCAGGGCTGCACAGCCAGATTCCTAGAATCGTATACTCTTTCTTCTCTCTTGCAGAATTGAAAATTTGCTACGAGGGGCTGGAGACCCATCTGAATTCTTGGAATGGCAAAAACAGATGCGTGGAAAAGATTTGGAAGAGCAGCTGGCTGAAACAGAGTGTAGGAGGCTGCAAGGGAAACTGAGTCATGAAGAGGCAGTTCTAGCCCATCAGAATGTAATTCAAGAAAATAAGAAGAAAGCTGATCTAATGAGAGAAGAGGTAATACATACAGCGTTGCTCAAATTTTGCTTACATTCAATCAGTGCAAAACATACCACAGATGGTACCTACTATAAGAAGGTGCAAAAGTTCTGTACAGTGTCTTGACTCACTGGAGTCTGCAAACAATGGAAAAATAGTGCTATAACTTCCAGACACTGCAATTCTTATAAAGTACTTTTTACAAGAGTTTAATTTGATTGATAACACTTACGAAGTAAATTGAATAAAACAGAAGGTTAAGGCATTCTCCTCTATATTCGTGTCATTGTGAATATCCTTTTTGAGCAGATACTGAGATACTAAGCACCATTTGCAACAAAATCACCAATATATGACTAATGTCATTATTTTGTTAAAATGAGCGCCACAAATATGAAAGAATTTGTTTTCTTAAACTGATATAATTCAATTTACTTCATTTTATATGACATGTCTAGATCTCCGTTAGGGGAAAATTCAGGCAGAGAACCCTCTTTGGATCTCTATATATGGAAAACAGAATATCTATGCCAAGAAATATTTTCACAGTTTCCAATGTGGCAAATCACAGTTTCCCAAAAACATTGTTAGATCCTTTCATTTTTTCCCAAACTCACATTACATTTTTCCAGTGCTTTTCCTATAAACTAAACAAGTGATCAAGAAATAACTAACACTATAGATTTCAAAATTTTCATAGTAAATATCACAGGCTTTTCTTTTCTATTAGCCTAGTTCGCTGCTATGCCCTGTAGGCCAGCCAGTACTTTTCTCTTGGCCACAACTCACAGATGTCTCTGCAGTGTCTCAGCAACTTAAGATGCAACCACAAATGTACAAGATTTTCATAAAGGCCACGCTGCAAAAGGGAAACTTACTTAATGAGTTCCTTCTCTGTCCTTTAGCAGAGCACCAGTTCTCCATTCACCAACAGCTGTCATGCTGACCCTCTCCTTCTTTTAAAACTCTAGTTTTCCATCTAAAACAAAAAGTACAGTAAGGAATCTAGTCTGGGAACATCCAGTTTCCTGCTTCCTGTTCATTTCTTCTGACAAAGAAAGGAACGTGATAGCCGAAAGTGGACTTTCTGTATGTAACAAAGATATGACTTTTAGGCCCAAGAAGATCCTGCAGGTACCCAACCAGCTGTGTATTAGATTGTCATTCTTCTCAGTATCTCACAACCAGACCCAGAGATGGCTTTTTTTGTCTGCTTTTAGAAACGTGAGAAGGAATCCTGGAAAATGGCAGTGCAAATGTTATGGAGGGCTGTTGTGGGTAAATAAAACATAAAGAGAGGAGCTTAAATCTGGGTCTCTATGTTTTCCCCAGTTATCAGGAATTTTATTCACCTCTTTGTTTGGGATTTAGAAAGCGGAACTGATGCACCAGTATGCAGAAAAACGTCTACAGGAACAGAAAGAAATGAGAGAGCTGGTGGAACAGGTCGTGGAAGGACACAAGAATGCACAGCAAGCAAAAATAAAGCTCCAGAAATACAAACAGCGGATAGGTATTTACATATTGCCAGAAAAATGAGAGATGATGCCAAATGTCCCCAAATTACTTTATTTTAGTGGGCCAATTACAATTTTTACAGAAAGGAAAGGGAAGTTGAGTGAAAGATCCAGGCTATACATTCCCATGAATGTATGAATATGAATTCCAGAAATAAGTTGGTAATGGGTAGATCAGAAATTCTAAGCATCTGATTATGGGAATTACTCTTTGTTTAAAAGGGAGAAATACAGCACTAATGTTCTACAACTAGCTTCCTTTCCGTCCCTTCCATCTAAAAAAGTAGCATATGTGAATGACTGTACTTTTTGTCAAATCAAGTTATGAAGCTCAGCTTCTTGTGATTCATATCATTAAGAGAGGATTTGCCTAGCAACCACTGTGAAAAAATCATGGCTCAAGATTATTGTCTTCTCCAGAGAAGACGACTGTAGCTAAGGAAAGAAACGCCATCTCCTAGAAGGACACAAAGGAGAAGGATGTAACATCTCCAAGACAGACCAGCCGTTAGGATGAAGGGAAATAATGTTACACATCCTCCATTATTCTTAAAGGAAATTCTTCAGTTAATACATGAACTAATGAAGTCCAGGGAGAATGCTGTTCTGACTGGCATGGCTGTATATATTCTAATGCAACGCCATGTTAACATCTACTGTATGAATATGGTACATCTAGTTGTGCGTATTTTGGTGAGCAGACTTTTCTCTGCTTGTGGATTTCCATACTTGCATCAGTAAAGGCTGAGGCAGGCAGACGGTGTTAGCCACTCTAAAACAGCCTCGCAAAGCCTACCAGCCTTTGCAATTCAATGATTTCTGTCATATGTATAGCTGGAAAAACTATGAATGCTATTGTATAATATCGTTTTATTAAATAATGAAACAGTATGCACTAATTAGAACAGAAATTACAAAGCAGTAATTCAAAGCATCTACTTTATATATGTATACACTATGTTTATGTGTTGAATAGAATGATAGTGGAGGTGGGAAGTACTCATTTGTTTCTCTAATCATTCCTCCCACCAATGCCAGACTGTTCCCTCAGGTACTTTAGATCAGTTTTATTATTGTTATCCAGAAATGCATATGAATTTTCCTCCGGACGGACTACTTGTTAAAATATGCAACCAGCTCAGAGAGACTATTTCTTTTCTTTCAGTTCAGGAAGTTTGTGAAGAAAATCGGGAACTTCTTCGGCAAGCTTTAGAAGAAGAGGAGGAAAAGCTTAGGAAAAGATATGAACTAATTCAACAAATACGAGCTATTGAGTCTTTACCAAGCGTCAGACACAAGTTTGTTGATTTAACTGAGGTAAGTTCAAAAGGAAAAACTAGTGGTTTTACATAAATGTATATTGTATATGTTTCACACATCCAGAGGAATTGTGTACTGCATGCAGATATATTGCAGTCTAGATGCACAGCATTAAGTACAAAGTGACCCCATGACACAAAGGTTAGATCTGAACTGGAACTTTCACAAAGTTTATAAAATGAAAATTTTACCAGGAAGAATATTCTGATGGTAAGTTAAATCTGAGTCCCCTTGAACTTTCTTTGAATTTTGCCAACAGGATCTGGGTTTTCTGATATCTTTCAGAAAGAGACTGACAAGTGATTACATGTTCTATCCATCCTCACAAGTTCACAGATTTCTCTGTGAAATATAAAGGGGCTTATAAGAAAGATGAAGAAAGATGTTTTACCAAGGCCTGTAGTGATAGGACAAGGGGTAATGGTTTTAAACTAAAAGAGAGTAGATTTAGATTAGATATTAGGAAGAAATTCGTTACTGTGAGGGTGGCAAGACACTGGCACAGGTTCCCCAGAGAGGTTGTGGATGTCCCATCCCTGGAAGTGTTCAAGGCCAGGTTGGATGGGTCTTTGGGCAACGTGGTCTAGTGGAGGGTGTCCCTGACCATGAATCTTGAAGGTCTCTTCCAACCCAAATCGTTCTATCATTCTATGATTCTATATCAACTTCACAGTTCCCGTATACTTACTATTACAATAGTACTCTGAGTGAATTGATACACTTTTGGTGATAGCTTGCCCTGTTTTTTTCTTTCTACAAAAGGCTTTTTCAGGCTTAGTGAAATTAAGTATGTGTCCATAAAATTCTCATTCCTTCTCCTAATTTTTGAAGTACCCAGTTCTTCCCCTGATGGCACTTAAGTTGCTTGAACACCAGCATTATTTACTGCATGAGTATACAAATGCTCATATTTTAGGAACCACTTCACTGTCTTCACTGAATATTTTTGAAATGCAGACACTCAAAATATTCAGCCTCTACCATTCTATGTTTCTATGAAATTCTCTCTCCTATACCTTTTCAGTGTCTGCTTGCCATGCTCAAGCACTACCACTGATATATATGCTCTGTTGCAAAACATTTTCCTTCACTTCCTGTGAATACACTTGATGGTCATTGACTAGCTTAAATTAGAGGCCAGGTGTTATAGCACTTGCTATTTGCAAATTTACTCTAAATTGAAATCTGAGGAGATAAATGATCATTTACTGTTCCAGTAACCTATGGTAGTACATATTTTTCGAAGAGATGCAAAAATAAAGACTGCCTAATATTGAACTCTTCTATCAATCTTCTACTGATGCTACTGGTGACCATTGTTTAGGTCACACTTGGTACATGAGAAGCGTGGAAGCAGGAACCACTGAGCCAAAACTGAAGAGTCAGACTTTAGGTGAAAAACCAGTGATGATCTCTTCTTACTGACTCAACTTTTGAAGCTGTAGAAAAAGAAGCTATGGAGACCAAAACTGCAGGAGAGACTCTAGGAAATCTTGGAGTCTCCAGGGATGGTCACCCAAGACACATGCTCCTTCACTGACAAGCTTGTATCATTAAATTCTCCAGATTGACTCAAAAATAATCCCTCTTAAGCACCAATGTTGTAGCAGCAAAAAGCCAAGCCTGGTTATTTGTCATACTCTATTTTGTGGTTTTATTGCCCCTGCCCCCCGGCCCTTTCATGGACTTACTGCTCTGAACAGCCAGAGAAGGATCACTGGAGGATGAGTACCCGACTAGACTGCTTAGATGGCATCCCAGGCCAGAGAAGAGGGACTGGACCCAGGTCAATTCTTGCAGCCAAACTGACAATCTGAGCATCTATCTACGACACAGCATCCTTCTCTTTTCCTGTTTGGTTTTTTCCCTTCCCCTTCATGTTCTGTTTTGTGAAAAGCTCAAAAGCAGAAAGGTGGCTACTGTTCAGTCAACAACTTGCTCAGTATTCAATACAAAGGCTTTTTTTTTTCCCTGCTAAAAAGGATTGCTTGAAAAAATGAAGGATCTTTAACTGAAAAATGTCTCTCCATTGAAAGGATTGTAATGAGTTTTACTTACTTACTTACATATGTTTATCATTACCACTTAATATCAGTCTGAGAAATACAATTTGGAGGAGTGGTTGTTCTTTTGAATTCCACACCCCATCCCCTTCATCCTTTCCAAACTTTGTCATTAATTTTCTGTCACTAGTTCTATGGAACTAAGTAGACCAAGGTCCTTGTGATTAAATTCCTAACCAGTCTTTCACTCTTAATGTTATACAACTGTATAGCAAGAGCCAGGTTAGTATCTTGACTTCCTGCACCCATATATTCCATTATAACATGCCATAGTGCAAGATACAAACCAAAGACGCGTACCAAATGTATGTTAAATGGGCAATAGAATACTAGTTGGTGTGAAATTGATTAAATTTTGCAAAGAAAGCTACACAGAAGCTCAGTATTTGTGCGGGTTTATGCAAATTTTCCATATATGCAGATGTATATATGTATAGACATAGGAAAAGAAAGAGTATATGTAAGAGCAAGGGCTGAAAACTTCAAGTGCTTACAAATCTGTTTAGAAATTATCTGTCTTCATATGCAAACTAAGGTGCAGAAGTCTCTCACTACATCTCAGAATCAGTCTGTTTATCACTCTCATTGTGAGGTGGATTTTAAAAAGCAATCATTAAACATTCCGGTTTGAATATTATAACTTTGGGCATTGAGATCTGAATTTCCTGAGTACAAAGCATTGTTTAGTCCTAGTCTTTTCGGGTAAAAATAGTAGATGCCATCATAGATCAAATCCATACTTTGGAAATAGATAAATACAAAAAATGCATATTTTTTAGTGTAAAGTCCGTTCTGGTTTTACAAACTAAAAAAAATGCAGTTTTACACATTTTACAACTTCAGAAGTCTAATTAAAACTAAAAGATAAGTCAACTAGAATTTTTGTATTTAGCAAATATATTGTATTTATGATTAATCTACTATTTTAGCGCTTTTTCATGAAATGTTCTAAAGCTTTGTGTTTTTACACATACAAAAGATAAGCTCTACACCTTAAAAACAGCCAGTAAATAGGTTAGGACCATCCCTACATTTCTTGAAGTCCAAATATATTTAGCATGATTTGGAACACAATCAAAATATTCTGGTTTTACTCATCTACTCTCCCCTTGGTATTTACAGTGTTATTTAAACCTGTATTTCATGTTCTCTAGACCGGTGGCCATGGTTTAATTTGTGAAATGTCAATAGTGGAACTACGTGAACGCCTCGCTCTACTCAGAGAAGCACAGAAGGCAGCAGAGGAAGAGAAGAGAGACCAGATAATTCATGAAAAACAAGCTAAGGAACAACTTCTTCTAGACAAACTGGACCAGATTTCCCTGTTCAGAGCAGAACTTGGACGAGCAGCCGCTTTAAAGTCAGTATAAAACAGCATGTGGTATTTAAGATGTTGCAACTTTGTTAAAATTTTGCTAGCCCCTTGAGGAGAAAAACAAGTAGAGAGCAAAATAGTGCTCGTTTATAAATTAGTGTGACTTTTGTCAAGGATTACACTGGGGCCAGAATTTCCTTTTTATTCGTGAAAATAATTTGCATCAGATTTAACAAATCTTTTTCATCATTTTGGATTTATGGATGAAGACACTCTGTAGGCTAATGTTGACAGTATTGCCTCAGGATTCAGAACCAATATTATATATTAAGAAAGAAGCTCTGCCTTTCTTCTGTTCCTTTTCACCTAATCAGAACTAATTTGATTTTATTAGAATCATTCTAGCTTGCTACTTAAGGTGGTTTCTCATTTTCATCTAAACCAATACATTTGGGCTATAGTTTTCTTCCTTGAACTTCATTTGTTATGTGAAAAGGCAGGCCTTATTTTATAAGTTAAAAATATTTTAGGAAGGAGATTTTCTGATAACAATAATAAGTTATAAATTAAATATTTTATAGAGTAGATCAAAGAGAAAAATCTTTGCTTACAGGCTCTCTGATCAAATTTTGTATTCATTATTCATATTTATTATTCATTATCATATTTATTATTCATTGTCATAAAGGATCCATGACCATCATAGATGCTTCACATATGCAGAAGACAGGCCCCTTCCAGAATCGAAGTTAAAGCTGTTTACAAATAAAGCTGAGCAGGAAAAAAGCCTGTGTAAACATGTAAAATATGGCGCATCTCTTGATCTTCTGCCATTTTTACTGCATCTTGACTATTTGCCATTGTTTTCTTGCAAGTTGTCTTTCACCTTTTCCTTTTGTGAGGTTGAGATGTTCAGGCTGACATTCTGAAGACATATTCTATCATCAGGCTAAAAGCACATGTCTTTAGACATGTCTTAGATTTGTGTTTATTGCTGAAATACCAAAGGTGGCTTCTTAGAGTTCAATTCATGTTATTGATTTATCATTCAGTTCTAAATCTCAATTACAGAAGGCTGTATTGATGTATTCATTTAACTAGTTTTCACTAGTGCCAGCTCTAATTTGGTTTGTTGCTGATAGTTAATCTCCAAAGACTGGGGTTTTACTATGTTAGTGCTTAAGAAGACAGTTTAATGAATTTAATGAATCAATAACTGGATTGACTGCATAGATCAGTGACCCTCTCTTCTATGGCATATATAGAGGAAAGATTTTAAGACTAAAGAACCTGAAATGGAGTTGGAGCTGGAAATAAATACATTCTCATCGCTAAACATTCAGTGTTGTGAGAGCCTGTGGGAGCAACTCAAGCCACCACTTTCCACTAGATGCAAACTAGGCATTAAGAACTTGTATACTACATAAAACCTGTTTCACTTAAAGAATCATTTGTTATGCTAGATGTGCAGCCTATGAATTTTGTATAGTGCTGGGTTTCTTTAAAATAGACTCTCTGGCTTAATTCGGATCTAAAACTGTTCTGAACCTGAAATAAGCTAATGCCTGAATGAGAAGCTAAGTTTGATTCACTTTTTGTCCTGACATTTGAAATGTTTTTTTTAGAACAGACCAGCATGCCAAAGATGGTAGAATCCAAATGAAATTAAACACTTAATTTACAACCTTCTATTCAGACTCATCGTAAGTAATAGAGTAATTATAACAGAGCCCTGTTTGCTCTCCCTATAAACAAAATATAAACTTTCATTATAGATGTTATAAGACATTTCCTTTTGTGGCTCCTAGGCAATCTATGTATGTAACTTGGGACCATCTACTATAAAGAGGCATCATCAAACTATACCAGAAATGTTGTTCTTTGGGAGTGTATTTAATGCGTTTTCATCTAAAATGCAAATCTATGGTGTTATTTCTGTTAATATAGGAGTACGGCATGCTGGCCTATTTACAAATGCTAGACACTTTGCTGCAGCTTTTATTTTTCTCTAAACAAACTATAGGCTTTGTGTGTTAAACCTGATTTACAGATCCTGAATCCTGAAATATCTATTGAGTCAGTGTGAGTGATTAATCGCTTGGGTTGTATTATTGATACACTGCACAGGAGATGTAAAAAGCAAATTTTTATGTTTACAGAATAAATTCATAATTATAGTGATAGAATAGCAAATCCTACCAATGCTCCCTGTAAGATAGCCTTATGCATCAATATAAAATTACACGTCGTATCTTAAATTGCATTATCTTGAAGGCTACTGCTAATCAGCTAAAGTATGGTGGCAAAGCTTTGCTACACTAACGTGCTTTAGTGTCAACTGGAGTTTAATTGGGTCCCTACCAAGCAGGTTCTTTTCAATATCATTTACAAACAGACATACATCAACACAAAAACAGCACATTGAGCAAGCATATAATGAGCTATATTAAACAAAATAGGAAACGGAACATGAAAAATTACAGAGAAATCAGCCTTTAATAGACTGCAAGCCATGACATCCATCACAGCAGTGGCTTCGTGAGTGCTTGCAGAACGCTTAAGAATCAATTCAGTACATAGGGAGGACGTCCCTTTAATTGCTAGAATTTCACACAGTTTGAAAATCAGCACTGGCATATGAAGTGGACAAACATGTGAGTTCTCAGCTTTCGAACATGAGCACTAAAAGATTTATAAGTGTTTGAATACATGCTAATAATATACTAAAGTATGTGCCTGTATACTGCAGGTACAATTCCCTTTTATTCCAGTGAGGCCACATCTATTACTGCAAGTAATTTAACACACTAAGAACCGAGCAACAGATCAGACCAGCTGGTGCTAGGGTTCCTTCAACCACATTATCTGTGGTGTGGGCGGTTTTACTTTGGGTTAGATTTAGTGTGGCCTTGGGACTGCATGCTCTCATCATTTGTGTGCTTTAAAACTGTCCAGAGGAAAGTTACCTCACAAAACTTCACATTCTCAATTCATGGCTCCTCTGCAAGCCTGTCTAGTGAACACCACACCAGCCTTTTGTTTGTCTCACACAGTAGCACATCCATGCCCCACCAGCCACTGGCATAAATGTAAGGTACGCAGAAGCCAACCTTATTTCTGATCTTGCTCGTGTCTCTTGTTTGTTTTCCTGCTCATTTTCAAGTGATATGAGAGCACCTGCTGCCCAGCCTCCTCCCCTCTCCAAGTCAGGGCACCATCCAGATGAAGGCAGCAGCTGCTGTTCCAGGGCAACACTCTGAACTGACACTAATCCTCCTTGACTTCCCTGTACACAAGGAAGAAGAATCAGAAAATTGTTATGAGGAGCAAGACACACAGAATCCCACCAACACAAAAGTTCACCATGTCCCCATCTCCCACTGTGGCAATGGTGTAGCATGCTGGGGTCGCAGTACTGGATTACAGACGATGGTGTGTTTGCCAAGGTGGCAAAGCACTCCTTTCTCACCCTGCCACTTGCCGGTGCTCCAGCACTCCTAGACAAGGGGCACTGCAAGTGAGTGTAACACCTTTCTCTTGGCCTGAAGTGAGGAGTGGTGGGAAGTAGTGTGAAGCGGTGGGAAGCAGCCATGGCAGGAGGACAAGAGGGAAGGTTGGTTATGAGGAGGGAGAGGAGAACAAGCAGAAGAGAGGGTTCTGGATGGATGACTGTGACGGTCCTTTCCAAGTAGAACAAGCTCCTTGGAGTGTTCAGGCCTGACTTAGGGGTCAAAGTCCTTTTCTGGGTGAGAAGGGGAGAATGGAGCCTCATCCTCAAAAACTTGTAAGGCACCCTGGTAGCACAAGCCTGTGGTGCAGCACACAGCTGAGGGAAGGGGCAGACAGCACATGGAGGTGGAAAGATGTAACAGAGGAACATGTGCCATGCTATCTTTATACGTGGCTGTTGCATCAGATCTTTGAAAACACAGCCTAGAATAATGAAAAAAGCTGAATAATATAAGGGACTTTGGTTTGGTACTTTGTAATATTTCTGATTTCTTTAATTTCACAAATTAAGTGTATGTGAAAGTATGTGTTTGCAATAAAGGAGTAAGATTTGGTTTCTCGGTCCCTACTGCTGGTAATGAGTTCTTCACTAGCATTGAAATGGAAGGAGGAAATTTAAATGTGTGAAGAGAGGCTGTAAAGAAGACAGGCTTTTCTCAGTGGTGACCCATGAGAGGACAAGGGGTACAAGAGGAAACAGAGGGAGGGTCCCTCTGAACATCAGGAAATACTTTTTTACTGTGAAGGTGACTGAGTCCCTTCCAACCTCAACCATTCTGTGATTCTGTGAATGAACTTTGATCATACAGCTTCATCATTTTTGTTTCAAATGAGGAAAACACTGTTATGAATAACAATCACTTCCACACCTAAAATTAGGTGATCAAAAAGTTAATTGTTTTGGAAGGGAGTCAGATTTTGAGAGCTTAGATCCCTCACATTAGTATAAATAGTAATCAATCTAATAGTGTAGTGTTCTTAAATGTCAAAATAATGACTCCCTTAACAGTGAACTGTTAACAGTTAGATACGTTCATTTTCCTCACTGCAATAACTAAGAACATATAGTGCAGGACGGAAAAAAGGCAAAGTACTGTGAAGTACAGACAGCCCTAGTCACTGAGATGCAGAGTATGAGGAAATAATAAAAAAAAATGTTTATTGCACTATAAGGCAATCCTACTTCTGCTTTTAAAAATATATTTGTGTTTATTGCACAAGACTCCATTTTGTAAGGTGAGCTTATAAATACAGTCCTAGCTGCCTAAGTTAATATTTTGGTGCCTAGAATGGTCAAGTAACCATTTTTACTCCATCTATCTCCTACAAGTATTGAGTCAGCTGAGAGCTCTCATACATCTATCTCCTTATACTTTTGATGCACAGGTGGAGTTTGAAAATGTAAAGGAAGAGCAAAATGTGGTTTACGGGAGGAACTCTCTGTGCAAATCTTCAGATTCTCCATTTTTTAAACACAGCTGAGAACACCTAATCCAACTGTTCCAGGTGTTTTCACTTCCTACAGGAAAACCTTTAACGCTGAATTGCTGCTCCTTCAGTTCTAGGCCTGATGACCTACTGGACTTAGAGTCCATTTGGCCAGATGCTAAAATTGCAGGGCAGATGATAGTTAAATAATTACAAGGGATATGTAAATAAGAAGGCACTGGACTGCCAAACTCCGTGACAAGTTTGTGAAATGTGAAGTAACAAAATACATATTTTTAAAATTCATTATCTTCATTAAGGAAATCATTGAGACAACAAATACGGGATGTCAACTGCAGTTTACTATGCCTGGAATATTATTTTAAGTAGAAAGACACATTTTACCCATCGTTGATGGAATTATTCTGTACTTGATCATAGTGAGCCAATATCTTTCTGCTGTTGACTGTACACATAGCTTACACCAAAAGTGAATCGAGAACAAAATCAGTGGTAGATGAAGAAATTTTCAGTTTGCTTTTATATCCATATTCTGTTCAATCTTTCATTAATCTCTTACTTTTCCTCCTTTGAGTAGTTTATACATACAGCCCACACTGAGCACATTCAAGAATCTCATCTATTCCTCAACACTAAAAGATACTTTCTGACAAGGTCACTAAGCAAAAACTAGAGTTCATTAAACCATTTCAAATACATACGGACTTCAAAAATACTACAATATTTTCCAAAGTCTTTGGTAGGGAAATGTTTCTTTTAATAATGGCAAACTCACAAAGGGATGGAAGACTCTTATCAGAGACCAAAAGAAAAGAAAATTAACGAATTCTCTTTTGGACCAAAGGTTTGACATTACATTTTAGGAACTAGTATGATTCTTAAAGATTGGTTTTCATTCAATGTGCTCATTCAATACCAGTAGCTGGTAAATAAACTTAAAAGTAAAATTAAAATGGGTTCTGCATATTTATTTTTTCATAAATTATCAAATAATTTTCTATTGAATCTGGAGAGGATTTTCCTAACTATGTACTACCCCATTCTGACTCGCTACTACCTTACTTCCTTAGGAAATACGTGATATGGGGTGACAAAGATCCTATTAGTTTTTTCTATCTTGAGTCCTGGAAGTTCTCAACTGACCATCACAGAAAATCAGAAGTTTAAAATTTCTTTTTTCATTCCTTCCTCTCTTTGAGTTTCTGTAATGATGTGGTGTGGCATCGGAAAATCCATGGGACTGAAGGCTTTTTGGAATAGCGTAGATGACTGGCACATGACTTCATGTGGAAGAGGACTGAATATCAGTCTGAGGATAAGCAACTATTTACAATGTTAATTCAGAAGCAGCTGCTGCTGCTTCATGATGTTAAACCTCTTGCTGTATTACCTGTAATTGTATTTACAAGAATCTGGATTTGCATGTAATGAAAGGTTTTGTTGCTTATTTCCACTGACAATATTTAATCATCAAGTGTTTACATAAAACCTTATTGTTATATTCTCCTATATCCCTTGGAATGCAATGCCTTGTTACAATGCAAATAGACATAATCCGTGTTCTCAATTAGATTAAATGATAGTACATAATTTTTAGATTTACAGAATAGTGTTAAAAATTAATCTCAGTGTAGCAGAGTATGTTACAATATTAAAGAGGATAAGGAAGTGTTACCCTAACCAGACAGCGTGACACAAACAGCAGAGAGGTTCAGGAAGCGTCTCAGGAAAGCAACTGGAAATGAGAAGCCAAGCTAAACTGTGCCCCTTACTCAGAGTTCACAGTCACATTTCGGAATATAACACAGGCCAAATCTCTTCATCCACTCCAGAGGACTTTGGGAACTGTAGTCCAGAATGGCTGTGCTGAAGAATACCTGCTATTACCGGGAGTTTTCTATCAGAAAAGATGAATCTAACATAGCAGACAAAAGCCATCTCTCCCAAGATGAAAGAAGTGTTCGGATCCCTGGAATCTTGATACAGACACTTTTTAAGGCAAATTGGTGGTTTTAGCATCAGAAGGAACTTCTTCCTTCTTCCCCTTCCTCCAGCTCCTTGAGAAGAGTGTGTCTTATACTGAAAACACTGTGCTATAAGACCCAAGAGATAAGGGAAGAGTTCTGTTGTAAAACCTTTCTGGGGGCAACCTGTCTGTTGCGAATGATGTCCCAGTGCGCTCTGCTCTGGGTCATCTGGGGTCTTAATCTGGTTTCCAATAAAAGCAATTGTAATGTTGTACCACCACAATACAAAAGAACCTTTTACAAAACTATCCTTGCCAGCTGAAAGAAGGCATCAGATCTAACCTGGCTATATATTATATAATTATGTATATTCTTGGTAGATCTGACACTTACTTTAGCTCTGAATTTGGCTAGAGAATCACAGCTGCTCATGACATAATATTAATACTACAGCTTCATCATACTGAGCCCAATTCAAAGGCAATGCTGAATAAGAGAGAAAGTTGGATGTTAAGTGAATCACTATGCAAGGTGGTGTAACCTACATGAAGAAGTTTTGAGTAAATTGCACCAGTTGGTGAAAGTAAGCCAAACCAGATAAAATGTAAACTCCAGAGGACAGAAAAATAGGTACAACAGAAGGAAAAAAAAAGGAAGACTATCTGATAACCTCTCTTTTATGCCTAACTTTTATGCTGCACATGGTGCTATCAATTTACACTCACCTAGACCCACTAACCTTAATTAATACATCACTATCATCTCATAGATTCTGAATCTGGGCATTGAGATTACACAGGAAAGAGTATCTCTCATTTGCCAAGGAATACAGCAATCGAGATGAATACTAATGATCAGATAAGGAAAACTCCATAGTTCTCACAAGCAAAAAGCTGCAGTATTATCACAGGTTTTACACATGCTTTTGCTAAAGAATGTCATGTCAGGCTTTAAATACTTCAGATATTGTCATCATGGCATCCTGTGGGAAGAAATTACTCTATACTGTTTAGTAATGCTGTTCTGTAAACAAGAAGCAAGTTGTGAATACCGTGTTCATCAAGCTAGGTGATTTAAACCTGTTTTGAGTCTAGCTGGTTCCCAGAAGCAAGAGAAAATTCATTATTTTCAAGGTAATATATGCTCAGATGGATTTATTCTGTGGGTTGATATTATTTTACCTTCTCACTGCTTCTTTTTGATTTTGCAGGCAAGAAGAAAAGAAAAGAAAATCCCAGTCTGGTGAAAGGCCGATGAAAGATGAACGCATTTTAAACCTGCAGAAAAAGATTGTAGAAAAAACAATGGAGCGTAAAAAGCAAACAGGACTCTTAAAGATTACCCCCCAGAAAACCAGCATCGCATCAAGGAAGGTCTGGGAGTTATATAAGGAGAAAAGCTTTGCAGTAGACCTGCTGTTCACAGACCTTTGCTCAACTGCCAGCACTGGCAGGGGGGCAGAGGCAGATGGTGCCATACATGACTGGCAACAGCAATGCCCCGCTTCCTGCGTAGGCACGATTTTCCCAAACCATGGCCTTGACCTCACCTTCTTGTCACACATTCTGCTACCACAGAGCAGGGCTCATCCGTACATCTAGCTTCCCACTCATATACCACACACTCTCATTCCATCGAAACAGCATCTCACTCCCCCACACATCCCATTCCACCAAACCGGAATGCTCACCCCCTCTCACCCAAGGCATGTTCCAGTTTAGCATTCCCAAGGTTTTTACCTCACCTTCCCTCAGGTCCCGCAACATCAGATGAAGCACCAACAGGCCTGTAGGCTTTATGCTGGTTCACACTGGTTGTGTTTCCTTGGCAAGGGTCTAAAGACAAGCAGTGAGGAATTGCTGCACCTGCTGCCGCCTCTGCCATTGCCTCATGCATGTGTAACATTTCCAAGAGGTTCATATACCAGTAACAGTACATGTACCACAGCATATGGAACGTTGCAGTCAACAGTCATGATGGGAACACTTTTTAAAAGCTATACTAGCCCAATGTAAAATTAGAACTAAATCACCCAATCCATTAAAATAATAATAACTCTTTTCCTATTTGGGACAAAGTTAGATGAAGCTGAATTCAATGAAGAGGAAAACTACGTTTTCCGAGTGTATAGAGTTTAAAAATCAAAATAGTGCAATCTTTCAGAGTATCAATGTTTGCTGCCTTCAGAATCGCTGTTTCAGGCAAGCAAAACCTGTAGGTGCTTATGTAGGCAACTAGGTCTATCCCTTCCAGCAAAGAAAACACTGAAGACCTATTTGAAGAAAGCATTTCCTAAATTGGGATGGCTTTCTGAACTGAGGTCTTTAACACATGCTTAAACACTTTGCTGAATGGAGTCCAGAGTAAAGTAGAAGCAATAAATGGAAACTTCAAAGGAAAGCAGCCATGTAATTATAAATGCAAGACATTTTTAAAATAAACAAAGAGGAATTATAAATTCACAACTAAAACTTTCAACTACCTGATGTGGGTCTGTATGAGTGCTGTGGTGTCATATGCATAAGCAAAAAAAGCCAGGGTTTAAAAGCTGAAGTTAGATTTTGTCTTTTTCTTGATCTTAGCTTTACACAGTAAGTCTCTAAAGATGCCACAGTGGTTTTATGTTCCGCTCAAATGTTAAGACATCTGTAAAAAAAAAAAACAAAAAAGAGAAAAAATTCAAGGTTACTATAAATTATTTAGCTGTTTTGGTGTATCTTCCATCAGTGCTGTTCAGCTCTGCATGACCCTATCCAAATGTTACTACAGCAAAGTGGCTCAATTCTGGTCAGACTTTTATTCAAGTTGGAACTGCAAATTGCTGAAAATGGTGCTAGTGTGACTATAGGAGAAAATGTATTTTTCTATCATTTTAAGCAAAGAAGTAGATGAAAAAGTAGCAGTTTTCTGTTTGTTCTGAACTTTTTTGGGAATGCTCCCTTGTGAACCCAGCTTTTGAATCAGTAAACCAGTAGAGTCTGACAGGATTTGTGCAACTGTTCATTTATGGCTTCAAGAATAAACTATTGGCAAAGAAAGAACACAAGGTAGCAGCACTGGAGCAAACCATTGAGATGTAGTTTTATCTTGATTTAACATTTTGTGGAATGTTGCAGCTGTGTTTAATTCACCTTAAACTGGGCAACCCACTCAAGTTACCTTTCTATTCATCCTGCCCAGTTTGATGTTGACAAGTTTCCCAATCATGTTAGCAAATAAACTGTGTTGCCAGCCAGCCAGATTATCAAATAGAAGTTGAGTGTATCCTCTGAGAACCACTATCATCTCTGCAGTCTGATCATCTGTGTGTCTTTTCTGCAGGATTCGTTGCAATGGAACCACTGGAAAGAACTGGAAGAGAGTCGGGAACGACAGTTCAAGATCCTTCAACGTGGCTTCATGGCCAGAGAAACAGCTCAGAAAATGGCTGCCTATGAGGCAGCAAGAAGTGGAGCCACAGTCTGTATATTGCGCTCTGAAGTAAAATAAAATACATTTGGAACAAATTCAGGCCTGCTGGAAATCTCCCAGTGTGCCTGTTTACTACAAGGTTGAATTTTAATCTTTATTTCACCTTTACAGTGTGATTAGAAAAATATAGGTCATACAGGCACAAAAGAATAAAAATGGGGGGGGGGTTGTAATAGGATTTTACTTTTTAAGCTATAATGATACTTTTTTTTTTGTTAGAATCAAAAGCTTTAAGAAACTGAACCCTTACCATCAAAGCTCCTACAGCAGAATAGCAAATATCTGGGTAAAAATGTTGAGATCTATATTTCTGTTATCATTGTATACTATGCAATGGTTTGCTATGCTCATCTTCCAAAAGAATAAAAATGAGGACAAAACCCATGCAACATTTGTTGACATGTGAATCTTTTCAGAAGGCATGGTCAGTCCAAGTTCTAACATGTCTTCTTATATGACAGTAAATGTGTGTAAGAGGTTCACCAGTTTCAACATTGGTTTTGGAGGACAAGGAAAAAACTGTTCAGAAGGTTTAGATGATGCGATAGCCTCCAGAAGCCAGAGATGTGATAGCCTCAGTGACCCAGACAGCCCATCCCTCTATTCGCAGATGTAAATCTCTTCAGTCTTTAAACAGTGGAAGGAGAACATTGTTCGATCTCTTTAGGGAGCTGCTTCCAGAAAAAGTCAAAATTCTGTTGCTCACCTAGAAGATAATTTGCCCTTTATAACAATTTCTATACTATGTAAAACAGCCTTTAAATCACAAGGCTTACTCTAGGCACAAAGCCAAAGAGGATATAAATCTGAATTAAAATCTGCACAGCAGTAAGACTATGTAATGTGGTTCTATTTTAACTCAGTGCCAGTTACTAAGTGTTTAATTATGGCTATTGCAAATATTTAAATTGAAGGAGACTGTCGCTGACGTTCAAGTCAGGCAGCTGCTTTTAATGCTCTCACAACATTACATTTCTCACTTTTTACTGAAGGAAGCCTGATGGAGTTCTTTTGTTGCCATCTAGCTGCGAAGATCACTTCCACAATTTGCAAGCTGATAAAACATGCTGTATTTTTCATTCAAAGTAAATGCTACAGTAGTCCACGAAAGCAATGTAGGGCTCATGCTCCGCAGGAAGAGTTAAGGAACATAGAAAAGTGAAAAGAAGGACTCATAGCAGGAGAACTACAGAGAAGAGGGAACTACAGCACTATGTCTAGTAGAGGATTGTAACAGCTTACAATAGCAACCCCTTGGTGGCAGGGAGTTGTTTGCAGTTGTTCAATTCTGTTGCATTGTATTCCAGAACAACAAAGCCAAATGGTGACTGTAACACCTTGGTTTTCCAGAAGCTAGCAATTCACAGGGTTGACATCACAGTCTGGGGTACTGCATAGCTGAATAGTTTCTCTTAAATTTTTTGATGTGTCTTGCATTTTGAGAATTTAAAAAAAAAATCATCATTAAGCAAATAGATAGGCAGTTGTATGTAGGTAGGTAATATGGAAATTTCAAAACCCCATCACGCTGCATGCTTCTTCCCCTGTGATGTTAAACCCAGTTTTCAAAATTCCTACTGAATTGCAATCAAGCTGATTCATAACTATTTCCTTCTCCATATTTTCTCTGCTCTCAAATGAAAGGATTGAGGAATAGAGGAATTTCAATAATCCAGCTGTGGAATTTTTACCTTCAGAAGTCACAAATAGCCCTATTGCTGCTTTAGGCTCTGATGCATAAAGTCATCTTCAGAATCAATGTTTTCAGGAAATGTAAAAGAATGTAAGTCTTTAAGGAAAACTAGAAATATATTCCTATATTGATATATTTAGACCAATATAGCCTATTGATTTTTCAGTGATGACAGGTCTTGCAACAGAATACACAGAATAACAATAAAAATACCAAATTCCTCCTGACAAACATGGATAACTTGATGTTGGAGGCAGCAGATCCTACCCAGAACCACTCTGCAGCTGGCCACTACAGCACCTTCTGTAGTATTCCTGTTCCAGCAGTGTGGTACACAGCAACCTGAGGTGATCCAGTGCAGAGCCAGCAAAGGTCTGGTAGGACTTGTTAGTGTTATATTACAAAAGCAGCTGTTAATGCCATTGGAGCCAGGTGAGCTTTGAAGCAATATAGCTGCATTCACACTGCTGCCTCAGCTAGTGTCTGTGGTACAGACCACCCACAACCTGGTTAATCCACACACAGATAATTGAGAGTCAGCAATGCCTCTACGCTCATCACACCTCATGGAAACACAGGTACATGAATAATTCATGATTCATTCATTAAAACATTTGTTATGCTATCTGCGGCCAAGACGACGAGGGTAAGTGAACAAAGCTGACAAACCATCTAATGAACAGACTCACAAAATCAGAGCTTTCACCTGTCTGATCTTACTGACAGACTCACTAAGAAACTCCTTTAGTGAGGAGGCCCAGAGTACCTGAGGAAGACGGGAGGGGTTTCAGCCCTTCGATGAGCATTGGACGCAGGGTGCTCACGCCTCATGTAACGCAGTCTCGCACCTCGTGTAACAGTTGCTGCTGGGCGGTACTTGGCTCCCTCTTCCGAATCAGCCCTGGTAATGAGGCAAAGCCCACACTCAGTGACTGCCTGGACAGGTAATCCCACCTGCCATAGAAAGCACAGATATTTTACTATTTAAATGAAAGCCAAGACACAGAGACAGATATGTTGGAATGATGAGCAAAAAAAAACCCAAACAGGGTTCACCCAGGGGAGCAAAAGGTAGCAGGAAAAGCTACGAGTTTATCTATAAGCAGCAAAGCAGCTGGGCACGGGGCAGTAAGATCCAGGAAAGGCCAGATGGTCCTTGCTTTGGGGCAAAGCAGTTGGGAAAAACCCTTTTCCACAGCGAGGTGAGGGCATTGAAACACCTCTGCAGTGTTTGTAGCGAGTGACATAGAGGACCTGGAGTAATTCTGCCACAGCCAACAGGTAACCATCTCTCAAGTTGATGGCTCGGATGAATTCTTGCTCAGTGCGTTGGAAACACTTCCAGAAAAGTGGCATGGGGTGCGTGGGGGGGGACCCCAAGGCTCATACGGACATGCACCGGTACAGCAACATTGCAGAACACAGCAAAAGTCCTGCTTCGG